ATTTTATCCGGTACGTACGAGGTGTCAATCTCAAGTGAGCGCTCGAGGAGGCTTATCTCGCGCGGGGGTGATAATTCAAACGGGAAGTCGTTTCGAAAATCGATAACGATACCCCGGGATCTAGATATCGCGCTATCTACTCCTATACTTCTACGTAGTTATAAGTAGCTTTAGCTCGGCAGATAAGATACAAAGTAAATAATATCTACGACAAATAAAACAAAACACAACAACATATTACCTACAATCAGGGTGGACACTTTTCTGGCCAATTTTTTCACAAAATTTATTGCCAGAAAAGTCTCGTAAGTACTAGAAAAATCATAAAAATATTATAACGAATTTGCAAAATATTATGCTGTTTAAATTATAGCCAACATAAAATCAAAATTTTGGGTGGGATAAAGTATTTTATTATAGCACCGAAAGCAGTGTTATAATGAAGTCATTATGAACGCAAAATAGATGAAGTATATTTTACTCATCATTTTATCTTGTTCTTGTAAAGGAAGGAATAAGCTAAACTTTGTATCTTAATGGTTGTGGTTGGACAAACCAAATTACAAATTTATTATAATCAGTATTCTATGTTTATAATTATTATATTAACATTAAATTTACTTTAACATATTATATTGTGATGTAATGTACCATTTTACTAAATATTTCTATTTAACATTTACAAACTTTATTTGGTACAGTTTATTTTATTTTATTTATTTGATATATTGATATTCATTATTAAATATGTTGAGACTTTGATTCAAGTTCTGCATATCAAATGAGATATTTATTTATTGAAGTTTGTTGACGGTTTCTGGTTAGGTCGGTGAATATAGTTTTGCTTTGACAGGCGCACCCAATAATAATAATAATAATTTTATTACTATATCATACCAGATTGTATTTCTTATTTATAACTGTACAAATAAATTGCATTGCCGTTGTCCACTACTATACCACTTGTTATTTATATAATATATAAATAAATAAATAAAAATAAAATATTATTTTATTTACTACTACCATCTTTTATAATTGTTTCAATTTGTATTTGCTTTCCTATACAGTCCGAGCCTATTATTTATGTAGGTGAATAATCATATATTATATCACGAGAACTATGAATTTAATCGGTTAAACTAGGCTCAGTAGTTTTTTGTTTGGTTTTTGTTGGAAAATGTTGAATGCAAAATAATTTAATAAAATCACGAGACCGCGTAGCGGTCGAGGGGTTTTAATTTTAATTATTTTGCATGAAACTATTGTCCAAAAAGAAAATCAAATAAAAAACTTACTGAGCATAGTTTGACAGATTAAATTTATAGGTTGAGTGATATACGTCTAGATTATTTCTCGAATTAAAGAAAACTATTTGACAATTCATAAAATCTGACGTATGTGTCAAAATTTATAAATATTTTTTTAAAGAAAATTCCATTAATTTAAGGTATGTAATAAGTAATAATTGATATTTCGTAAACTAGATAACTTATTTTTTATTGTTTTTTTAAAAACGTTTCTTAAAACTTGTAAATAACACCATAAAATCGTAAACAAAAATCCAATATGGAGGCTAAAATTTAATCGCTGTTAAATAGTTCTAGTGATTTAATCGCTTATTTAAACGAAATTTATTCGAAAATTCAAGGCTTTTCATTTGTTCATATTATAATGAGGGAAATAATCACTGTAAAATTAGTGTTTTTCAATATAAATTAGTGAAATTTTAACTTCTCCAAATTAGTGTTTTTTATTATCACTACTTTTCCGGAACTCTCGACATAAAATAGTGAAATTTTAACTTTTTTGAACTAAATCTATTTCACTAATTTGTACAGTGTAATGTCCACTAAATAAATTAGTGCAAAGAAATCGCTACATGAAAAAGTGAGTATTCACTAATTGCTAGTGGTATACTTATCACTGCGGCAAATAGTTAATATGCACTGTCAATCAGTGAAAATCCACTGTTTCATTTTTAGAGAGCAGAGCAGTGAGCAGAATTTTTTTTTTTATATTAATAATGTACAGTAGCAATAATATTTAATCTCGTATTAATTGCCTTTATTATTAAACTTTTTTTAATTTATTAGTTTTTCTTTGCTTTTTAAATAGGTATATTTTTAATTGAAAAACCAACATATGGGTTAAATTTAAAAAAATAAGAATTTAGTTATTTCTATGATGGGTCTAAAAGATATACCTAAAATCAAAAAAAATTAAAAACCAGATGTAGAACCTACTAAGGCAGTACATTTCCGCGCGAATGTGCCTAAATAGGTGTAATAAAGTAGCATATCCGCTGAAAAATACGCGTATTTATTCAACCCCGCGGGGGCGGGTTGCGTAATTGAACTGTTGGGGGTGGGGGTGGACGGGTGGGCGGCCGTCGGTGCGTTATCGCGAACGTGACACACGGGCGAGCAGGGAGCGGCGGAGGCGGCGGCGGCGTCGTGTCGGAACAGGTTGGCCGGTAAATGAGCAATAATAAAGGTGGTGGGTGGCAGGCGTCGCGACGAGACTGCGGCGTGGCCGTAGCGGCGCGTGTCTGACGCGTCTCGTGTCTAACAAGCAGCCGCCCTGCCGTCCCCCTCGTCGACCGCATGGTGGCGGTCCTCAAAATGTTCCAACGATAAAACTATTTCAAGCTGCACTGAAAGAAATTTGTTGCTAAAAGTAAATACAAATTTATACTAAAAATTTTATACTAGTGCTTTACACATTTATACTACTGTTTATTATGAATGTATGGTAAATTTTGTAATACATTTATTGTAAAGAAGATATGTTAGATCTAAATAAAAATAAACTTACCCTTACTATAAAATGTAAACTATAAGTGAATTACAGCAAAAAAATATTGCTAGAAACACCATTTATATTGCTAGGGCAGCAATAGGCTGCTAACCAAACGAATATATTTGTTTTAGCAATGTATGTGGTAGTCTATATATGAAACATAAAATATATTTGCCCTAATTATTTTTTTATTTAACTTTAGTATATATTTCTTTCAGTGTGGGTTCTAAGTTAGAACTTCTAACAGAGAAATTACGTACTCTCTAAAAGTGAAACAGTGAAATTTTCACTATTTCCGTCAGTGAGTTATTAATCACTGTAAAATTAGTGTTTTTCAATATAAATTAGTGAAATTTTAACTTCTCCAAATTAGTGTTTTTTATTATCACTACTTTTGAACTTGGTTATCATAACTACTAAACCTATTTAACTAATTTGTACAGTGTAATTTCCACTAAATAAATTAGTGCAAAGAAATCGCTACATGAAAAAGTGAGTATTGACTAATTGCTAGTGGTATACTTATCACTGCGGCAAATAGTTAATATGCACTGTCAATCAGTGAAAATTCACTGTTTCATTTTTAGAGAGTAACAATATTTAATTTAACTTTAAAAAGTAATTTAATTTAAGTTACTTGCGTTCAAACAAAAAGTAAATCGTAATTTATTTTACAGAAGAAGTGTGTTAATTAATAACAATGTTTTAAAGCCCTTTAGTACGATCAACAAGTTTTTAGTCACAGGCTGAAGTTAGTTTTAAGTTAGTTGACAGTTGTCAAATGTCATATAGGGTAAACCTCATAGTCATTGGACACTTAAGGAAGTTTTAAATATTTTAGTTTTTTTCTTATGAATATATAAAAAGGAAAGTTTGTTTGTTTAAGCATTATTTAGGCTTACTTAAAAATAAGAATATTTGAATTTTTAATAATAGTTTTATAAAAGCATGCAAAAATTATAGTAATTGGACATTTTATATAGTAATTGGACACATGGACCATAGTTATTGGACATACAATTTTTATATAAACATAACACCTTTAAATCAAATAACATAAATTTTTAAATATTTTTTAAAGATAAATTGCTGTTTTAGGTAATTTTTTTTTATTTCGTTTTTGTAAATATCATATAATTCATATATTTCTTTCTCGGATTCCTCATCCCTTTTATGAATTCTGAAGGTAACTACCAATTCCTTGGTCGACTTCTGAAATAGTTTGTTGCAAATATCATTAAGTGTGGTATCTCTAGTTTGTGAAGCATTTATAATGTTTAGGCCGGAACAGGATGATTTATATATTTCTAATATTTTTTCCGGTGGGATGTTAAAAGTATTTTCCGAATTTATTAATTTTGTTGCCATTAGTTTTTTATGTTCTCTATCATGCACTGTATTCTGCAAGATGTCCCCCCAAGAAATCACTATATTACTTACTCTTTAAAAATGAATTAGTCAAAAATGTCATAGCGAAAAAGCAGCCACTAATAATTCTCGTCAACATCAATTTGTATTCAGGACATTTAGCAGTCAATTGTATATTGGAGAGATTTTTAATTGCATTCAGATTAAATTTACAGACTTATAATTTTATATTAATCCCGGCGCATTCGCCATATTTGCAAGTTTGTTTTAGATTAATGTCAAAATTTTATTATTACCTATAAATATGTAATACTTGATTAAAGAATGAAACCCAACCCTACTTCTTCACTCAATGGATATACCTTAGGCATTATATAAAATGGGTGATTTTATAAAAAGAAAATCAAAGAAATTATAAAATTTATCCCGGCGCATTCGCCATAATTGCAAGTTTGTACAATTTCATAATAATTATTACATCGGTAGTTTCCCTACCGTAGGTATACCTATAAAATGGATGATTCTAAAACAAAAACAAAGAAATCTTATATAATACGTTTAATTTATCAGTTATCTTGTCGTCAATATTTAAAAACAAATAAATGAGCAAAGAATTAAATTCCTATATTTACTTCAATTACCTACACAAAAAAAGTACTTTTGCAAAATAATATATAATTAAAATTGTGTGAAAAAATAAAGTTGAAAAAACGTTTAATCGAAAATGCCCCACATTTTGTTGTCCGCCGGTCGGATCCGTTGGTGTGATGTGGCGGTGTCGGCACGCGACTAAAGCAGCTCCGTCTCCCCTCGCCTGATCCCGGCCACCGCACGCGCCACCCCCCAGGCCGCCGCTCACACAACGCGCTCTCCTTCCCGCCCACGCCGCCTCTCTCTCTCTCCGCTCTCCACTCCACTGCACGCTCGCTACTGCCACTGCCACCGACACTCTGCCTCACTCATCGCCCGTACGCCAGCCGACCGAGTCGAACGCACCGCGTCTTCGATGACAGCCAAGAGCAAGAGAGCCTCCGAACCCAGAAGAGCCAACAAACCGCTGATGGAGAAACGCCGCCGCGCCCGCATCAACCAAAGCCTGGCAGCCTTGAAAACCCTCATCCTGGACTCCGCCAAGGCGGACAACACCAAGCACTCCAAGCTGGAGAAAGCCGACATCCTCGAGCTGACAGTCCGCCACTTCCAAAGGCACCGCAGCCTGGACGTCAAAGGAGTCAACCAGTACAAAGCCGGCTACGCGGACTGCGTGCGCGAAGTCCAGCGGTACCTGGAGACCCCCGACGCGCAAACCATGACCGTCATGGACTCCGGCGTCCGCCAGAGACTGCTGCGCCACCTGGACAACTGCGTGTCGGAGGTGGACGTGGACATCCGCATCGCCGGTCAACCTGCGGAAGAAAGAACGCAACCGCCCGACTCCAGCACTCTGGAGGAAGTCAACAACAACCTGAACAACACCAGGTTGGAGCCCAAGGTCACAGAGCCGATGCCTCCAGGGAAAATGGTGAAGAACTACGACGGAAACTTTGTTCTGCTTCTGCCGGAGCATTACGTTCAGCTGGCCAACGCGCTGGGGGTGAACCTGCGCCAAAAGACCGACCCTGGTACCTCCAACCTGGCGAACCCCCCTGAAACTCCGCACCTCGGTAAAGCGATCGACTTCAGCAAAAACAACGACTGTGATGGGTCCATGTGGCGCCCCTGGTAGATTTTTCAAGTGTGTTAAGTTGGTTTGTGCAATCAAGACTTTACCAAAGACTTCTTCGTTATTTAATATGTAACGATAATGTAAATAGTTTTTATGTTGTATACATGCATAGGAAATTGTAATTTATATAAAAGATATAAGAATAAATGCTTACATTTTACTTGCTGTCTTTTATTTTTTCTATAATTTTCCAAAAAAAAAACTATCCCGGATATGACTGTTGAGAACAGACGACGCGAGTAATGCGCCAAAAAGAATGGAAAAAGAATATCCGCAACCAAAAAAGCATGCAAGTTTGCTCTGCCAATAAAAATATGTTAAATATGCATTCATGTTACTTATTCACCACCAAAATTATTTCTTTCCTTTTTAAATTTTAAATTTATTTAAATATTTTCAAACACATTTTTTATTGCAAAATTGTTTGTTGGCCCATTTCAAAATTACATTAAAAAAACAACAAACTAAAAATGATTTTTACTCATACAGGGTGTTTTAGTTTTTTTTGTATAACTTTTAAAATTAATGCAAAACCAATTAGTTGTATTTAACCATTCACATTTTAGACTTTCTTCAAATAGCAGCTATAGGTTTTATCAATAATGTGTTACATTAACCGAATTTAAACCAAAACCAAAGAGTTATAAATAAAGTAGTTAAATTAAACACAATAAAATAACCAAATGGTTTAAATAAACTTACAGGTTAATTTATATAACCAATAAGTTAAAGCATCCTAAAGGCGCCATATTGTTTGTAAACCATTCTAAAAAATGCCAATAATAATTTGTTTTATTCCAAAAATAAAGTAATTTAAACAAACCAATAATAAAATATAACAAAAAGTATTTTAAATCAATTTCTAAAGAAATAAAAAAGGAAATATTTTTTTAAAATTTTTATTTTCTTTATTTTTTTTTTAAGCGCATTTAAAATATAAAAATATTATATACTTTTTCATCAGAAAATCTGCAATAATTTTTCTATAAAAATATCACTTTTTTGGTAATAATTATCTTATTAAATTAAATCTGATTTTTTAAGTAACCACGATTTTTTAACTAATATTCAACTTTCGTTTGGTTTAAGTTTTATACATTATTTCATTCGGTGATAATTATCAATTGCGCCCATGGTCACCTTTTTAGTTACAAATAAAAATTATTATTGAGGTATAAAGAAACCATTTATAAATAGTATTATTTAATCAATTTAGTTCGAAGATTAATTTGCAAACAAAAAGACCTCCTATCGTTAAGCAGTTATTCATAATGGATTTTTGAACAGTGGGAGAAAAAATAGAAATGATTTTGATTTATGGAGAAGCAGGCAGGAATCTTTATGATGCTGTTAATATCTACGCTTAGCGTTTTCCGGAAAAAATTCGATCACCTACTTCATTTCACCGTACAGTCAAGCAGTTTACTACAAACAGGAGTGTTCAGCCGAAAAAAAGAGTTCGTCGAACAACAGTCACAGGTGGAAATAAAAAATAAAAATAAATAAATTTAAGAAATAAAACCAAAAATTATTGGAGAATCGTATACATTTACATTACCGCGCAATCTATTACAAATATGAAAAAATGTTTTTAGACAAAATCTACCCATTTATAGTCGAATTATCTGAATCTGAGTAAAAAATAGGTTTATGTGGTAATCATTTGCGTTAATTCAAGTGGGTTTAATTTTGCATATAAAAAACTTTTTATTGCATAGATCCTAAAAAATCTTGAAAATCAAGCCCAAACACGGCATATTTATCTTTCGAAACAACGAAGATACCTCGAAAATGCATCATCGATTCTTTTTTGTTTTTCTTTAACAACTTCTTTGTTTTTGCACATAAGTATGCCGTGTAACCACTCAAACTTTATGATTTTTTGTTTTCTATTCAAAAATGATTTAATAAATGGTAACAATTTGCGGTAATTCAAATAGGTTTAATTTTGCATATAAAAACCTTTTTATTGCATAGATCCCAAAAAATCTTGAAAATCAAGCCCAAACACGGCATATTTATCTCTCGAAACAACGAAGATACCTCGAAAATGCCTTATCGATTCGTTTTTGTTTTTCTGTTACAACTTCTTTGTTTTTGCACATAAGTATGCCGTGTAAAAGATCCCAAAAAATTCTGAAAATCAACCCCAAACACGGCATATTTTTCTCTCGAAACGACGAAGATACCTCGATAATGCGTCATCGATTCGTTTTTGTTTTTCTGTTACAAATTTTTTGTTTTTGGACATAAGTATGCCATGTAACCACTCAAACTTCATGATTTTTTGTTTTCTATTCAAAATGATTTAATAAATTGTAATCATTTGCGTTAATTCAAATAGGTTTAATTTACTGTATTGTAGTTTTTATGGATTCAACTAACCATAACTTTTCTCAGTTTAATTTTTGTTTTTTTTTAAATAATAAAAATAATTAACTGTACTTTTTTAAACAAAAAAGTACTCCCGTCAAAATCCTTTTCATATATAGATTTAAGTTGGCTATTTTGAGATATTTGTATTTTTAAAGTTCAATGAAAGTTTCATCAGAGTTTACAACTCCAAACCAATCCCTCCAAAAATGGTAAAAAAAACTTCTGAAAGTAAGTCTTGTAAAATAGCGATCGACTTAATTTTACAAAAGAAATATAAATTGTACTTGTTGTTCTTTTTTTTTATATCTTGTCATATATAACAAAGTTTTATACTTAATTTTTTTTTTATTAAAGGCATAGATACAAATTTAAATTTGAGGAATTTTAGCGTCTGCATAGCGAACTAAAATTGTAATACCTACATAAATTAAAGAAAGTTGCAAAACCACATTTGGTGGAAATGAAAACTTTGACTCTTGGCCAAAAGAGGGCAGCTTAAATATTTTTTCTCATATACTTACCACACAAGTTTGTGTTTTTTCTTGTGTTGTGATTTTTTATCCACCAAGTTATGAGTCCTTTTTATCATAAATTATTACAATTTTGCAATAAAACCAACAATCTTACTTACAAATTAATTATTAACAAAAATTTAACTAATAACAAACTAAAATTTGGTACCATGGAGTATTTACTTCAAATTACTTCTATTTCTGACACCTGAAAGTGGAGGGGCTTTTGCTAAACCAGCAATACCTTCTACTGAAGCTTGCTTAGCAATATTTGTTAATGCTTTAAATGAATGAGGTTCGTAACATGCCAAATCAGCTAGTGTTTTCCTATTTAAGAGTATATTTGACTTTGTTAAACCTTCCCTGAAATCTGCGTAAGGTAAACCGTGCTCTTCACACCCTGCGGTCACTCTTGTTTCCCACAGCTAAAAAATATTAACATCAAAAAAGTCAGTAAATACAACATAACCAAAAATAGTACATTTGCCATGTCTGCTTTCTTTAATTGACGTCCTTTTGTTGCGTAAACCAACGCTCTATGAACATAACGGATTGCGATACTGTAACAATTTCTTTTTCTGCCTTGAAATGCCTAAAAATAATTTCCTGGTCAAATGTTGTCATATTTTTTTGGCACACACGACTTACGGCGGCTATTTTAAATATTTTACGTTTACGCCAAAACTCATCGGGACCTCTGGCTCTTATAAAATTTACTGCGGTCGTAAAAACCATTCCAAAAAATTGATTTTCACAAAAATTTAAGTTGAAATGTGCGGTTTTTAGGTTAGGATCACAGAACACAAAAAGTGTCTAAAGTTACGTCAACTGAGGTCTGTTTGGTTATCGAGAAAGTGGAAAGTGAACACTTAGATTTGGCGTCCTAGCGTTGAGTGAAGGAGTTCAGTTATCTTAATATTTTAAATTTTAAGATTATTTATATAAAATTTAAATGGCGTTTTTTATTCACTTAACGATTAAACTGTGGACACCCTATGCATTCCTCCCTTCCTCCCGTAAAAGATGAACAGTACAAAAACCGTTGTGCTGTTTATAGATTCACGTAGGCGAATCTATAAATGGCACTACGATTTTCGTATTGTTCATCTTTTACGGGAGAAAGAAAGGAAGGAAAGAAGGAAGGCAATCTATAAATCAGGCTTTAGAGTACTCTAGTGTAGTTACAGGAGGTAGTTTGGAAACAAACTTAGTTACCGTAGACACCAAAATGGTTGTCAAACAGCCGTCATCTGTCAGTTCATATTAAAATGGTGGAGTGAGGAATATGTTGTGAAATTCCACGGAATTTGTTTATTTACTTTTATTAGTATAAATATTTATAGTACAGTATGGATATACTCCCAGGTAGATGCTAGTAGAAGTCTCCCTGTATCCTAGAATAGTGCCTGTGTTTTTCTGAATTAGTTTTGAGTATTCCTTATAAGAAATGGGTATGCATTTAGTGTTTATATGTGAAAATAAATAAAATTTCTTCGATTTCTGGTTTTATTGTGTGTGTTTTGTGTTTTAGAGGGTATGAACGCTTCTTTTAAGAAGGGGCCTGGCCTCTATGAGTTTTTGGTTGAGGCAGAACTCCAACAATACTTTAATAGTTTTAAGTAAGTTATATTTATTTTTATATAGGTACAATATATATATTATATATATATATATTATATAGGTGTTTATCATTTAAAATCAAAAACCCTATTTAATTTTATTGTTAATAATGTTATAATAATGTTATATGTGGGTGATTTTAGGAACACTCTTAAAATAACACACCCATCTCAATTAAAATTTACAACTGAAAGTGACTTGGTGGAAATTGGATTATCGAAGCCGGAAATGAGGAGACTGAGGAAATATTACGAGAAACATTTCCCGCATAATTATTTGTCTAAGTTTAAAAAATTGTTGACTCACAGAAAACAGGATAACTCAGGCCCAGAGGTTTACCTTCTGGCTAACAGCGATTCAACAACAATGACCCGATCTCCAAGAGTTTCAAGCAAACATATTATACCAGCTGCCAGTATAACTATTAATAAAGAGCTGGGCATGGGGGAGTTTGGGATTGTGCAACAGGGGGTTTGGTGTAATGAAGGTGAAAGAATTCAGGTAAATACATGGAGTCTTATAGGATTTATTTATCACTTTGGAATCTAACAAAAAAATTAGTTTTTTTTATAAAAAAATATTCTTATGTTATCTTATAATTAATTTATACTTAGGTTGCAATAAAATGCTTGTCAAGAGACAGAATGCAAAGCAACATGGTGGAATTCCTCAAAGAGGCCTCAATAATGCACAATATTGATCACCCCAACATAGTGAGATTTTTTGGGGTGGTTCTTCCAAACATAGAGGGAAGCCTAATGTTGGTGACCGAATTGGCACCTCTAAGATCCCTTTTGGAATGCCTTAAGGAACCCTCTTTGAGGGCGAGTTTTCCCGTTCTGACTCTGTGTGATTTTGCGTATCAAATTTGTGATGGAATGCAATACTTAGAAGCCAACAGACTTATCCATAGGTGAGTGAAATATAAGAGGAAATTTATGAGGTCATTAACATTTTTTAGATAAGTTTGGGTTTAAATGCATGTTTGTTATCATTAGAAATGTAAATGTTTTCAATGATAGACAATAGACTATTTTTAATTTAAATTAGTTTGAATACAATTTGAAATTAATTATATAAACAGTTCTTGTTTTAACTCTTAACTTTTACTTTTGAAATTTAGCAATTAGTTTTGTAATTATTAAACAAACTGTTTTATGATATTAATGAAATATTTATTTATTGGTATTTAAAAAATATCATAATTAAATATTAATTATATGTTTTGTAAACACCTGATATTGTTTATATGAAATTTTATCATGCATATTTATTTATAAATACCTTTAAAAATATTAATATATTGTTTTTAAGTTTAAATCCCTTTAATCATTAATTTTAATCTTAAATTTATACTGTTACATATTTAGTTGAACAAAATTCTAATCTTATGACTCACATGTTCTTTGTTTTGAATGTTTTTTCGTATATAAAAAAAATATTTTTCATTATTATCACGCACGCAATTTTTATACTTGAATTTTAATTGTTCAGAATTAATTTTTAATATATTTATTAAAATATTTTAAGGTCAAAAGTATAAAATATCCAATTTTAAGCATAAAAAATTACATCAAAATTTTATATCTTATAAAAACTTGTTTAAACCAAATTTTCTTTAAATAAAAAATATTAAATATATTCAACTTTAAAAAATATTAGTAAATTGTTCAGGTTTAAATCCATTTTATCATTTATCTAAATTTAGAATTGAATTAAAAAAAAAACACTTATAAAAGATGACTAAAAACACATCTAGTTAAACAAAATTCTAATCTTATGACTCACTCACTTTTTTTATTTATATAAAATAAATATTTTACATTATCGAGTACGCAATTTTTATTACATTGAATTTTAATTAACAGGCTTCAGATTTTTTGATATACAGGGTGTTTTACATTCGTGGTCCTGGTTTTCTGGGGAACGGAAAAAGATATCGATTTGAAATTTTAAAAGCGTTTAGTCGGTTACCATTTTGAGCACCTACTTGAATTAAAATTTAAAGAATAAATAAATTTAAAAAATAAAAACAAGTATTTTATTCAAAAATTATTGCTGAATATTTACTCCTAAAAAATATTTTTTACCACCCATTTTCTCTAAATACAAAATAAATATACAAAACCTTATAATTGAATAAATTAACTAGAGACATTAGGCAAGCATGTATTATTACTTAAGTTGTTTAAAATACAATGATATTGTTCTTAAAAACAACAAAGGAATAATTTAGGAAACAAGTAGATAATTGACAATGTTGGTATTTTCCAGTCTAAATTAATTTACCTTTTAATTTGAATGGTTTTGAAACACCTTGTAGTCACTACTGTTTCGGTACAATAAAAAACAGTACACCATGGTTATGGGCCTGAATTTATTCTACTGGTACCTGTAATTTTACAGTTACCTACACTAATTTTAAGCTAAATGCAATAGATGTATTTTTATATAGGCTTGTAGGTACCTAAGTTTTATAATATGAAAATTGGTATACGCTTAAAAAAACGAATTTTATGTATGGTGGTACGAATTGTACAGAAATATTTTCGCAAAACTAATCTTTACAGCAATCTTTTTTACGATTGTTCAGGGATCTGGCTGCAAGGAACATCCTTGTTTTTTCCAAAAACAAGGTAAAAATATCGGACTTTGGCCTGAGCAGGGCTCTCGGCCAAGGCAAAGATTACTACCAGACCAACTTCAATGTCAATTTAAAGTTACCAATAGCATGGTGTGCACCCGAATGCATCAGCTATTTGAGATTTACCACTGCAAGCGACGTGTGGGCGTTTGGCGTAACGCTATGGGAGATGTTTTCATACGGGTTCCAGCCCTGGGCTGCCCTCACAGGTAAGAACCTATAGTATTTAAGAAAAATATGTAGTATACAGGATACTTTATTCTAATACAAAATATGGTCAATTTGTTTAAGCTGCTAATTTATCAAAGAACATCATGTTCTGAGGAACAACTTTTTTGTTTATTTTTGTTCAGAGAATTTATTTCTAAATTTAATTTTTTGCGTTATTTTTTTCAAAAAGAAATCAAACCAATTTAAAGCAATTCCATATTTTGTAAATTATAATTATGTAGAGTTAAAATAAACTTAAACCAATTAATTATGGTTTAAGTTGACCAGGCATAACGTAAATTTAACCAGTTGTACGAAAAAAAAGCTATTCTATATTAAAGATTTAAATGGAAGAACTAACCTAAACTTATTTGGATATAATTTCAATGTTAGGTGCAAGGGTTAACTTATTCTTATTTAAAAAAAACTATCATATTATTTTAAATGCAAGCACATCAAATAAAATATACACTGTGCTTAATTTAAGAATAAGTATTTTTTGATACAAATGTTATAATTCTTGGCGATACAATATTTACTTATGGATTAAATATAAGGTATCTTTATGTAAGTTAAGCAATAATAGTTTCAAATATTGTCTATTCTTTTTTTAACTTTTGCTAGACTTTAAATAAAGGTTAGGATATAATGACCATGTTTATTTCAAAAGGTAAATAGTGGATTATGCTATCTCTTTTTTTCTAAGACTGATAGAGAAAAATAGATAGGATAATCCACTCTTTACCTGTTAAAATAAACATGGTCATTATATGCTAACCTTTAAAGTCGAGCAAAAGTTAAAAAAAGAATAGACAATATTTGAAACAATAATTGTTGTAAAAAAATATGTAATAAAGACAATGCTATAGACCAATATCATTTTTTTCACGTTAAGTTAAACAATAATTATTATTGTTTAACTTAACGTGAAAAAAATGATATTGGTCTATAACATTGTCTTTGTTACATATTTTTTTTACAATGTTTCATATACCTACCTATCTACCTATACAGGGTGAGTTTTAAGTTGACGCGTTCCTTTTAACAGCGTGTAGAAATCAGATAGACAAATAAATATTTTAAGTAACTTTTTTATCAAAACTCAAAAATAAAAGAGTTATAGCCAAAGATTATTATATTATCTTTGGTTATAGCCCTTCAAAGTTTAATAAAATTTTGAGCCGGTCCTGGCTATTGTTAACAAAAAACATAACCATAAAAATAACAAAATAAACAATGCAAAATGTCATCTATGACAACAAACACAACCATCTAAACAAAAATGCCTACAGAAATAGTTCAAAAATACCTGAGGGAGCGGATAAATCAGGTCAACAAAACGATTGGCGTACAATCGCGATTTTGACAACACTCTCCATAAATTAGTAACATTTACACTAATTCATTATTGCTATAATTATAAACCATTTTTAACAATAATTAAGGCACAAAAAAAACTTTAGTAAATAATGACATTTTACAGTGCTAAATGTCATTTTAATTTAAATGGTTATGTTTCTTGTCATAGATGACATTTTGCATTGTTTATTTTGTTATTTTTATTTTTATGGTTATGTTTTTTGTTAACAATAGCCAGGACCGGCTCAAAATTTAATTAAACTTTGAAGGGCTACTACTCTCTTATTTTGGAGTTTTGTTAAAAAAAGTTACTTAAAATATTTATTTGTCTATCTGATTTCTAAAAGCTGTTAAAAGGAACGCGTCAACTTAAAACTCACCCTGTATATATAATATATACTGCAATGATTTTTTCAAACCTTCAGACACTTTGATTTTGTTTGCGAGACGGACACTTTTTGGCTATATTGGCCTGTTTACCTAAAATTTTTATTCGTACCTATATACCGTATATATAATCTAGAGGTAAAATATACATAATTGTTTTTTATGTGATTCTTTGGCCAACCTAATATCACTCCAACATCTAAAATTCAATTCAGAATACTACTTACACAAATATAATTATGTAATAATTATTACCTACACATAGATTTGGTGGTTAATTCTATCAAATTCCATTTTATTTAGCAGCTTTTTCATAATTTTAAACCAAATATTAACTAACACAAGAAACAATCTTCCAAAATTTCGGACTCTTTTGTGAGTGGGGGATAATTTTAAGAATAGGCCAGTCGTACCAATATTTACTAATCTTGGTATAAATATAATTATATTTATATCCAGTATAGTTTAATATCTTTAAGAACAGAATAGAGGGAATTTTCCAAAATTTGGTCTAATCGATTGTTAATCTTAAATTAAGAATAAGATTATTTAATTTAAAGTGTTTCTTAACATTTAACAGGCAAGAATAAGACCTGCTTGTTTAAAGAAAGATTAATATTTAGTTTAATGTGTTTATTGCCTAAGCAAATTATACTTAAATCAAGTGAATTTTTGTAAGAATAGAGGTATTCTTACATTTAGAAAACATTTTTTTCCTTGCACATAGGTCAGCAAATCTTGGAGGCCATAGACGAGCCTCAGTTTCAAAGGTTGGAGCAGCCGGACTGTTGTCCGCTGGACCACTACAACTTGATGTTGGACTGTTGGAGGCACGAGGCCGCTTCGAGGCCCCGCTTCTCCGACATCGGGCCGATTTTGGCCGAGTGCAGGCCCGAGCAGGTGCAAACCAAGATGGCGTCGTCCGAAGGGCCGCACATGCTGACTTGCAGGGTCGGCGATGTCATCACGGTGTTGGACAAAAAGTGAGCATACACGAATTTATTTTTACCGCATGTTGGGTCAGGGCTACTACAGTAGAAACCGTCAATATATGAACGTGACTCATCGGGTGCCGAACATATCTCAGACATGCTAGCAGTAATGTTTTACTTGTCTTGTACATTCGATGCAGCGGTAAATGTACTATCGCTAACAAAAAAAACTCATACAGCTATATTGTGGCTGTGTGAATAAAACTTTTACGTCAATGTCAAGCTGACATCGAGCTTTGTCATATCCATTATGACTTTTTTAACAACATTTTCAACCAAACAATGCAGACGAACTCTGGCAAGCCATTGAAGCCATTTGGAACGAGATAAAGCAAGACGGCGACTTCCATGCTTTGCCGTTTGCGGGCAGTAATTGACAAAAACAGAGGGATGACGAAACATTATTTTTTTTTAAACTTCAACCTAACTTTGTATTTAATTTTAGACCTTTCAAATGTGACGTATCATGTTAAAAGCCATAATTACTCCAACGAAATGATAGAAAATCAGGAACACTAGATTCTTAAGCTGTATGAGTTTTTTTTGTTAGCAATAGTACTCACACGTAGGTTTTTAAGCATCCGGTCTAAAATGCGCCATCTGTGATGTAAAACTGCCTAGGTGTTGGACAAAGATGGACATATGACGCTTGTGTCCTAGCTTGTTACTTAATTTTATTGGAAGTCAGTAGAGTTCGTGTTTTAGGAATTTATTTTATTTTATTACATAGTAAGGCAACCAACTTTACCGTCGGCCATTTGTTTTTATATGTCATATGATCTTTGTTTTTGCATATCTTGTTTCTACTGTGTGTTTACGGATTAATAATCGTTTTAAACGTTGTAGTGGCAGTGGTTTATATTATGTAACACAGGTAGATGTCGTATAAAAATCCTTACCTAGAAATTCTAGGCTAGAATACAAAAATATTTTTATTATACATATAAATTTTGTACTAGTATTAGTTTAATACATTCTGAAGAAGCTACTGTGTAGCGAAACAATTGTCAATATTTAATAAATTTCGTGAAACTAACGCAAGTTGTTTTTATATCCACACAATTTAAATATCTTTCACTTTGTACCTGACCTGCGTAAACATTTTTGTTTTTTGTCACCAATTCTGAAATATTTGCGTTTACAGTTAAAAGAATAGTATATTCTGTAACAAGTTTGACGGTTTCACGAGAGGGGAATATGCAATTCCAAACGTGTTTCAGACTATACTAAGAATTTAATTGGAAGAAAGTGAGGTTGGGTCGGTCTAAAAATTTGTTATTAAAATCAGAGATGTCGCCACAAGTGTACGTTCTGTAATCAGATGATAGAATATTTCATTAAAGTTAAAAGAAAAGTTTATTTATTAATTAGTTTCTAAGAAAATTACAGTTTATTTAATTATCGTAGATGTTAATTATGTTAGATGTTAATTATTTAACTTTAAAAGCAAATATATCATAAGTATAGCAACCAACATTACACTAAAATTTTTTTACAAACGAGACTGCACTGGACCGTGACCTTCGATAGATTGCTTCGTACGAATGTGTCGGATGAGTCACGTTCATATATTGACGGTTTCTACTGTACATGGTATGTAGTACATACCAGCGTAAATTGCGTTTAAAAGTTGTTAATTATGGTTTGGTAATTAAATTTTATAGTTTGTTTTATATATACAAAATAAATTTACTGACAAATTTACTAATTTGGTTTAAAACGTTGAAAACATTATTTTTTGAAAATTACAGCATTGTTATTGCTAAAAACAAATGTGCAAACTAACAAAAAGCATTATAAAATACATTTTATCCATTTTGCATTCATAACGACTTCATTATAACACCGCTTTCGGTGCTGTAATAACATACCATAGAACAAGTAACATACTTTAACCACCCAAAATTTTGATTTTATCGGTTGGCTATACATTAAACAGCATAATATTTTGCATTTTGGTTATAATATTTTTAAGATTTTTCTAGTACTTACGAGACTTTTCTGGCAATAAATTTTGTTTAACACCAAAGAAAATCCTTTTTAACTTCTCTAACATTAACATTATTGTAAATAAGTAAATTAGGGACGGCATGGCGAATCTATTTTGACATTAACTTTAAAAAGAATGACTGTGATACTAACTAAGTATTTAAATTAAAATTCGACCAAATTAAATTTAAGGTATAAAATTAATTTTTTTATAGAATTTTTGCAAAGTAGATAAAATAGCATAAAGAACTCATGTCATAAGACCAGGGCTTCCACACCTCTAAAACTCATAAAATTCCTAAAATTTTGTAAAAAATTTGAAAACTCCTAAAATTCTCCTAAAATTGCATTCAATCTCCTAATACTCCTAAAATCCTAAAATTAAATTGGCCAACCTGACTGCGTTTAATTAAGGTAGTGCTAAAAAAATTGTTTTTTAAAAAGTAATTTAAAAATAGATATTTTTAGGTTCTCTTTTATTTTATTAAATTCTTTTTAAAATGATATAATATCACAAAGAAAATTTTTCGTAAGAAACACCAAAAAAACTACAAAATTGTAATTTTTCGCGATATTTCTTTTTTTTAGTCAAAAATATTCCGTGTATATATGAAACATAATGATTTTTAATTTTCTTTTAAATGACAGCTAAAATAGTAAACAATCTAAAGAATGTTTTGCCGTATTTTGCAAACTTCATATTTTGTTATGAGATTTTTAAGTATTAAGATCCACATTACAATTGAATCGGTGAGAATAAGAACAGTACAAGTCCAAACATTTAATTTTGACAATTTATTCTAAAATCAATTTTAAAGTTTAAAATACATTTTTGTAAGAAGATATAAATTATTTTACAGAATATGAATATTATATTTCATAAAATAGTTAAAATATTCTAACAAAAATGTATTTAGAATTATAAAACTGATTTTTTGAAATATTTTATCAAAAATTTTTAATCTTATTGATTCAATTACTGTTAGCTATTAACTAAACGGTTAACATATTTGTTCTTAAAATATAAATATAACATCATTTGATTTTGGCTTAGTTTTTTAGCCAAATCTATAGATATATCGACGCATTTTTTTAAATAAAATTAAAAGTGTGGTGAAATTTATACTTGTATATATATGTACCTCAGATATAAGTTTTAATTTAACCTCACTTTTAATTTTATTTAAAAAAAACTCGTCAAGCGATTTTTCTAAAAAACTAGTCAATATAACTTATTTTTACAAAAGAAGTATTAATTTTGTTCTTATTTTTTAAGGAGTAAAGAGTTGTTTTTATTTAATTAAAGAAATTCACTTCCATACTTTATTTATCCTAAAATTTTACAAAAAACCTCCTAAATTCCTAAATAAAATTTGTAATTTAGACCTTTTGTCGCACTCGTCCATTACAAATAAATTGTCCGCGTGCGACAAAATGACGTCCTATGACATTAGTTCTTTAAAATACTATTATATTATTAAATTTTAATTATTTGAAAAATCTGGAAATTTTTAATTTTTTTGAAATTTTTTGGAAATTTTTCTCTCACTTTTGTTTTCAACTCATCAAACCCTTTCATTTAATACCCATATCAAGGAGCCACAAATTTCTTACGCCACAAATGCAAATTCACCAAATGTTGTTAAGTTGTTAAAGTACACGCCAAAATAAGAAAGTTTTTCCTTTATCATTTTTGCATTAGTGCCATGTTTTTTAATAAAACATCTTTAAAATTTTTATAAGTAAAGTAGAAATTTTGGGTCTCCACTGGTTGTTCCTGATCTAAGACAACTGACGCAAAATATGCTCACTTATTTCGATTTTGCTCGCAGTTGTCACTTCTACATGACTCGTAAAGCTCATAATTTGGTTTTTTACTAAATTGAACGAAAAATTAAAAATGTATTAACAATTAAACTATCAAGTGATGACTGTAATTCTTACTGTGACTGTCTTAGAACTCATCACCCTCTGTGGAAAGGCGCCACGGCCAGCGGAAAAACGGGTCTATTCGACCCCAGCACGGTCGTCGCGTATCTCGGTACCGATCTACCTTGCTCGTCGTTCCTGAGAGCCGACAGCACCCGAAGCTCGTACCGTCGCAAGTTGCGAAGCGAGATGATCAGCGCGCCCCAGGGCGACTTGAAGCACACAGGTCACGTCGGCCTGGACGGCGCCTATTTCGGCGACCTCAGCTTTTTGGGAGGGACCAAGGGAAATGTAAGTACAAAATGTAGACCTCTTCGCCATTGCCGCTTGGTCAAAGTTAAATTTTTAAATGTTTAAAAATGACATTATCAAAGTTATGAAAATTAAAAAATTCCATAATAACTAATAAAGCCTAATTTTCATGTATCCGTTTGTCCGTTATACGTTTGTACGTTTTTCAAAAAAATCGTCTGATAAGAAATATTCTAATTTTCATGCATCCGTTTTTATATGACGTTTAACGGATTGATTTGGAGACAAATAAAAATTAAGGGTCAGTATATTCACTAAATTTACCTAATGCTTAATTGTCATAGTTACAATTATGTCAACAATTGTAACTTTAACAGTTAGCTGTCTAATAAATTTAAAGGTAGGTAAATATACCATATAAAAAGAATATACTAGCCTTAATTTATAATGTATAGTTTTAAAAAAGCAGGTCCTTTTAGTTCTGGTTTTAATATTTTATTGTTTGTCTTTTCTTTTTTTCTGTTGGGTTATTATTAAATAAAAACATAAAAGTAAAACATTATTCACATAACCAACGTTATATTTCCGTTTTACAATTTTATTAAAAGAATATTAAAAGATTTGAAAATAAAGTAACTTAAAATAACGTTAGGCGTCAAAAACAGATGTGTAGTGACAGATTAGTTAAAATTATTTTAAATTTCTCCGTCAGACGTACGAAGTTAAAACTTGACGGACGGAAATGTCATAATTTTTGAATTATAATTGGACCAATAAGAGCGCTCCCGGATGAACGGACTAACGGACAAACGGATACATGAAAATTAAGCATAACTCTAAAACGCCTTTATTAATCTTTATGAAATTTTGGATAGAAATACTTCAACTTATATCTCAATTTTCGTGTTAAAGGGTTTTTCGAGAAAATATTTTTAAAGCTCTTTTATTTAATATTAAAAAAACGTTTGAATTATAACTTTTAACTAAAATATCCAAACACATTTTCTATATGACCTTTGGTTGGTGAGTTACAAAATTCAGAAGGAACAAAAAGGAATTTTTCCCATTTTATTCTTATGGAAAATCGAAAAGTGCGATGTGTCAAGGTATTTAAATTAAGAGCTCATATTTTCACAGGCTTATTTTTATTCCTAAACGAAACTTTTGCAAAAAAACACCCTAATATATATGTATATTTACAGTGTGTCCACTATACTTGTAAAAATATTTATTTTCAATTTTTCGAAGACAAGTCACTCCTCATAATTTCTTCTGCCTGTTATATAAATACTATTTATGCACGATGACATTATAATATGACAATTATAACAAAAATTCTTTGACGTAAACGTCTTTTTATAGCCCGCGGGCTTTATTATGACCCAGCGGGCTATAATGAAACGTCAAAAATTAAAAACAACAATGTTACACCATTTGATATATTCGAAGTAAGTTTTTTCGTATAAAGATTTTGATTTTTCCGGCAGCAGGCCGCAATTTTTCGCCTTTTAAGCTGCTTCCTCAATTTCATTCATCTTTAAACTTTAAAACTGACTGATGTCAGTTGACATTATAATATGACAATTATAACAAAAATTCTTTGACGTAAACGTCTTTAAAAACAATAATATATTAAAAATAATAATATATTAATCGTGCATAAAGTTTTGTATGCATTGCTGGCATAACTGGTTTTTATGGTCCTACGACGCTTTTCTAGCCCTCGCGCTAACGCGCTCGGGCTCGAAATAGCGCCTCGGACCATAAAAACCTTATTATGCCCTTAATACATAAATAACTATCACGATGAGAAACTTCTATTATGCTATACATGTTGCGCAAAAAAATACAATAATTGTAGCTTTTCATATTGGACCTTCAAAAAAAATATTTTTTTTTAACAATTTTTAATTTTGAAAAATCTAAAATTATTGTAGATTTTGCAAAATTAAAAATTGTTAAATATTTTTTTTGAAGGTCTAATTGAAGAGCTTGTAAGGAGAAATCAAAAAGCCAAATAAAGTTTTTTCATGTGAGTTGTTGTTACTAAGATATTAAATATAATATTAACAAATTTTGTTATTAAAAATAAAATCAATTCAGGTCCTAACTTGAGTAGTCCTATTATTTTTTAGAAATTGACTGCTATCTAATTTTGTGATTATGAATCAAGGTTGTTGCTTTCAACTGACATGTCTAAAATGTCTACAACTTGTTAAAATTTGAAAACTAATATCTTAAATTTTCAATATCTTAGTATCAAAAACTCATATGAAAAAACTTCATTTGACTTTTTGATTTCTCCTTACCAGCTCTTTATATTAGCGCCTCAAAAAAAAAAATTGAAAAATTTTGAAATTTGAAATTCTGTATTTTTGCTTACCCTGTAGAACAAAATGGATGTTTCTCAACGCGAATCGTATTTATATAACAAGCAAAAGAAATTATGAAAAATGACTTTTCCGAAAAATTAAATATAACTATTTTAACAAGTATAGTTATGTCCATCCGTGGACACAGTTTTTATATTAATTCTTTTTGATTGATTAAATTCCTTTTTGATTGATTAAATTCCTTTTTGATTGATTAAAATCCTTTTTAATAAACTTAAACTGGTTGGTTTATCGAAAAAATGATAGGAGACATTTTTTGTAGAGCGTTCAATTTCCCACAAGAATATATATCGCGCATACAAATCTGTTAATTAGTTTGTGAGCTAGATTAGAATTATAAATAAACAAAACAAAATTTCCCATGTTATTTAAATGGGAAATAGAAATTCTCGATGCGCGACCTCTAAATATTAAAATTAAGAGCTCCGGTTTTCACAGGTGTCTTTTTTTGGTACCGTGAACATATATCAGTGCGAAATTTACAAAAAAAAATAGTTGTATGTCTCAGTATCTTGGAATCATATGGAAAACTTTTTTATTATTAATTTTAGGAAAAAAGTTATTCTTTATAAAAAGTTCTGCATGGTGTAAAACTTAAAATGCAACCCACAAATATTAAATTGTTTTAGTCGTATACGGGGTATGTCATAAAATATGAATTTGGCTCAAGAGTAAGTACCTTTATATTTGACAATATTGAAAATTGTTATAAAGAAAAGTTAATCAGAACTAAAAACTACGTTCAAATATGCAATTTCATCCATTTATATTAAAAAATTAGGTTTTGTTAATTTTTTTAATTGCAAAATTTTTAGAAAACATTTTGAAACGAAGGTTTTCATGTTTTTTGTAATCATAACAGATAAATGTTCATTTAAAATAGAAAGATTAGTAAAAATTAACAAAACCTAATTTTTTAATGTAAATGGATGAAATTGCATATTTGAACGTAGTTTTTAGTTCTGATTAACTTTTCTTTATAACAATTTTCGATATTGTCAAAAATAAAGGTACTTTACTCTTGAGTCAAATTCATATTTTATGACATACCCCGTATACGACTTAAAAAATTTAATATTTGTGGGTTGCATTTTAAGTTGTACACCATGCAGAAATTTTTATAAAGAATATCTTTTTTTTCTAAAATTAATAATAAAAAAGTTTTCCATATGATTCCAAGATACTGAGACATACTGTATATTTATATAACTTTTTTCCCAGTATGGCAGCGTTCCGACGCAAGTGGTGCCCCCCTACCGGCCCCACAAGGACCTGGAAGCCGCCCCCCTGCTGGAGGGGGACCACGTGCACGTGCCCGCGCCTGCGCCCCTCCAAGACCACGAGTACCACGAGATCAGCGACGAGGAGACCAATCACAGCCCGCCGCTGGATCTGGGGCCGTCTTTGATGGCCGAGATGGAGATGATGTTTAACTCGTTGGGCACGCAAAATCACCACGGCAACGATCACGAGGGTTCCAATCGCAGCAACGAACTTAGGTGAGTGTTTTGTTTATCATAAACGGGTCGTTTTCAGAATTCTTGTACATTTAAAGAAGAAAAAGTAATAACAAAAACTTAATCTACAAACCTATTTTTTTGTTGGATTTTTTTAAATAAGACCTTAAAAATAAAAATAAATGGTCCACAAAAAAATTCATTAATTAATATATAATTATATAATATTATATTATATATTAACATTTTATAATAATAATAATAATCGTTATTTGAAAAATTTGCATACACAGTTTAATCTATATAATAATTATTACAAGGGGAAAAAACACAGTATGTACAGAAAATAAACATGTCAAAATAAAAAGGAAACATCAGGAATCAAATATATCATTAAAAGTGTAAGGATTTAAATTACAAATCCAATCATGGACTGTACTTTTAAACAAATTAAAATTATTTATAATTTTAATATTTTTTGGTAAAATATTGAATGTTTTTATGCATATAAGCATTAGGGTGTTTCATTTAAAACGATTTTTTTTTTCTTGCTGACACATGAAAATTTTGTTTTTTAGGTTGAAAAAAAAATTCCCTACAAATTTAAGCCCTTAATTTTGATTCTAAGTACTTCCTTTTTATTTTTAATCATTTTTACTTTATTTTGAATTATAATTTTTATCACCATAATTTCCTGCATAGTATTCACGGTTTTTGAAAGGCTCTGCATCAATTTTGTTTTTTATTTATTTACGTTGATTGTAGTAGCTCCAAAAGTCGTTTTTTTCACTTTTTTCACATATTTTTGAGAAAATCGAGCGAATGACTGGTTTTACCGAAAAAATTCAAACAAAAAGTTGTAGAAAATTTAATTTTTGACAAAAAAGGTTCTCACATTCATATCACTAAAGTGCTTTGTTTAAGAGATATAAGCAATTTAATAACCAAAAACAAAGAAAAAATTTTATTAAAATTTTTGTATATGTAATTTGATTCAACAACTATATATCAATTGATTACTTAAATTTAACACAATTAAGATGGAAAAAATTAAAATTTCATATTTAGTTAAATTTAAGGAATCAATTGATATAATATAGTTGTTAAATCAAATTACATATACATAAATTTCAATAAAACCTATTTTTTCTTTGTTTTTGGTTATTGAATTGCTTATATCTCTTAAACAAAGCACTTTAGTGATATGAACGTGAGAACCTTTTTTGTCAAAAATTAAATTTCCTACAACTTTTTCATTTGAAGTTTTTCGGCAAAACCAGTCATTCGCTCGATTTTCTCAAAAATATGTGAAAAAAAGTGAAAAAAACGACTTTTGGAGCTACTACAATCAACGTAAATAAATCAAAAACAAAATTGATGCAGGGCCTTTTAAAAACCGTGAATACTGCAGGAAATTATGGTGATAAAAATTATAATTCAAAACCCGGCCAAAATATAGAAATTTAAAGTAAAAATGATTAAAAATACATGCTTTTTATATGGAAAAACTACAAAATTAAAAAGGAAGTACTTAAAATCAATATTAAGGCCTCAAATTTTCATGTGTCAGCAAGAGAAAAAAAATTTCGTTTTAAATGAAACACCCTAATAAGCATCCTTTTTCAAACGTTAAAAGTCTATGATGTAGATAGTAATAGTTCATGATCTAAATTACTTATGCAACTTTTAAAACTTAATTTTTGTTACCGACTGAAAACTTTTTGTAGAGAAAAACTGAGCAGCAAGTCGCGCAAACAGGCAACGGTGAAACCTATATCCGCGCACGATCAAAAGACGTTGGACGCGGCCATCCAGCTGGCCAATGAGCTGACGACGAAATCGATGTCGTCGCCTGCTCCGACCACTCCGGCCTCGCCGAACAAGAAAAAGTTCAGCTTCAAGTTCCCGTCGGTCCACGAACACGACAAGAACAACACCGTGGAGCGGAGGAATTTTGCCGAGGAGGCGCTGTCCGCTTCGGATTTGCAGGTAGGTTTTTCTTTATTTGTGCTTAACACACTGCATTGTGCAATGATTTAAAAAATAGTCGACAACGAAAATTTTAATGTCATTTTTTAAGATAAAACCTATTAATATCTGTAAAACCCTTACAAAACCCTTATAAAATTGTTGAAAACTAGAAAGTTTGTAAAATTTAAAAATATAATTTTTCGAAAATTTTGAAGATTTGAAAGTTTGAGATTTTGGAAATTTTAAGTATTTTCCCCTTTCCTTTTCTACTTGTTTTCTAACACCTTTGATAATGTTTGTGAATTTAAATAAAATTTAAAACCAGAAATTTGAAAATTGAAAATTTTTGTAAATTTTGCTTATTTTAATTCTTATTGTTTTCTACTCGTCAAAAATTAATTTTTTAAAATGTTAAAAAGTTTGGAAAATTGAATGGTATTTTTAGGATAAAACGTATTTAAAATTGTGACAAAATTTTTAAATTTGCAAGATTTGCAAGTCTGAGATTTTGGAAATTTGAAGTATTTTTTTACCTTTTCCTTTTCTACTCGTTTTCTAACCCATTTGATAATGTTTGTGAATTAAAAAAAAATTAAAACCAGAAATTTTTTTTGGAAATTTTGAATATTTTTATTTACCTTATTGTTTTCTAATCGTCAGACCCTTTTGAACATAAGTTTTAAAAATTAATTTTTTAAAATGTTAAAAAGTGTGGAAAATTGAATGTTATTTTTAGGATAAAACCTATTTAAAATTGTGACAAAATTTTTAAAATTGCGAGATTTGCAAGTCTGAGATTTTGGAAACTTGAAGTATTTTTTACCCGTTCCTTTTTCACTCGTTTTCTAACTCATTTGATAATTAATGTTTGTGAATTTAAAAAAATATTTAAATTAGAAATTTAAATTTTTTTGGAAGTTTTGAATATTTTTATTTACCTTATTGTTTTCTACTCTTTAGACCCTTTTGAACATATTTAAATTTTATAAATCATAAAAATTTTGGAAACATTTTGAATTTTAATAATTTTAGAAATTTTGAAAATTTTAAAAACCCAATAATTTTTTGGAAATTTTGATTTACCTTATTGTTTTATTCTCGTCAAACCCTTATTTATAAAATTTAAAAAATCCTGAAAATTTTGGAAATCTGAATTTTAAAATTATAGAAATTTAAAAAATCTAAAACCTGTTAAAATATCGTACCTAAGTTTTAAATATTAATTTTAAAAAATGTTAAAAAGTTTGAAAATTTTGAATATTTGTATTTACCTTTAAAAACCTTTTAAAAATATCGTAATTTTTAAAAATCCAAAAAAATATTATTTTAAAAACCTTTTAAAAATATCGTAATTTTTAAAAATCTAAAAAAATATTTTAAAAATATTGAATATATTCATTTACCATATTGTTTCTACTTAAACCCCTTTGAAAATATTAAAATTTTATGAATCCTACAAAAATCCTACATGTTTGTGAATTTTAATAATCTTAGAAATTTTGAAAATTTTAAGTTCTTAAGTTTTTATTTACCTTTTGAAACTTTTGAAAATATTGTGAATTAAAAAAAAATTGAAATTTTAGAAATTTAAAAAATCTAAAACCTTTTAAAAATATTTTAAGTTTTGAAAATTAAAAAAATTGATATTTTAGGATTTTTTTAAAATCTTGTAATTTTAAATATTTTCATTTCGATTATCGCTTTCTACTCGTGAAAATTTTGGAAATTTTGAAAATTTTCATTTGCCTTATTGTTTTTCATTTTTAAAACACATGAAAATGTGTGAAAATTTTGAAAATGTTTAAAATCTAAAATTATTTGGAAATTTTAATAATTTTGGATATATGGAAAATTTTGGGAATTTTTAGTTACTTTATCGTTTTCTACTCGTAAATTTAAAATCCTAATAATTTTGTGAATTTTAAAATTTTTCTAAATTTTGAAAATTTTTATTTCCTTATCGTTTTTTACTCGTCAAACCCTTTCATTTGAAACCCAGGTTTATTTATTTATTTATTTTGTAGTACATACAGAGAAAATCCAAGTAGTACAAAAAGATACAGTAAGAATTTTTATAACAAAACAAAAAGGGAAGGAAAAAAAAATATAATACACAAACATATTATTAATAAGGTACTTAAAAAAAACAAGATTACATAAAAATATCGAAAATTCAGATTACTTGTCATATTGCATTTATTTATTTTGCATCTCTTTTCTGTGGTGTCACTTCAGGCCTACTGAAATTTTTTACGCAACCAAAGAAATATAAATAGGTTTTATCTAATAAAAAATGCTTTTTGCTTTTGTTATTAGTTTTATACTTACAGCAATATTATACACATACTAACACAATTTTTTGTACCCGATCCCGATCATCCCGATTTTGCGTTAACGCCTTTTATTTTCCACCCTCACCTCAAACACACAAACCAGAACTTTATAAACTCGCCCTCCTCTCTCGACGACGTATCCAACCACAGCCTCCGCCTGCCGCTGTGGGACAAAGCCTCCGCGGAATTTTACTTCGCGAAATCGCGCGAACTCCTCACTCGGCCCTTCCCGTCGGCCGGCCGACCGCCGCGCGCCAATCGCAGCGCGACGCCCGACGACAACCGCCACGCCCACCGCAGGTACCTAGATTATCAGAACCTGTCGTTCGAGGACGATTTTTACAGGCCGCACGCGAACTACAGGGACCGAACGCTCACCAAGTCGGAGAGCATGGTGCGCAAGACGTACTCTTCGGATCCGCGGCTGAGGTTCGAGCAGGACGCGCGGTTTTTCAACAGGAACGCGCCGGAAACGGTGACGTACAACGCGAACGGTTCGCAGTACTTGGAGACTGCCTACGTGTACTACAAGACCGACGTGTTCGACGATAACTACGAGAAGGCGTTGAAATACGAGGAGGAGCTCGACAAGGCCAAGCACTTTTTCGGCAGGGCGCGCACTTTCAGCTTCAGCGAGGCGGCCGACTGCGTGCCGCGCTCCAACCGGCGCAGCGTCAAGGATCGCAACAGGCGCCGGCAATCGTACAACCCGAAGGCGTACGAGTCGAGTTCGAGCGAGAGCGACTGCGTCAGCGTCGGCTCCGCGGATCTGGACTGGCGCAGGCGCAAGCGGCTGTCGAAATTCTCCGCGTCGAACGCCAGCATCAGATCGGAGATGATCAAGAGGAACAGCACGAATCCGTTTCTGAAGCCGCAGTACAGCTTGAAGATGGCTGGGCGGTCGCCACCGCCCAGCAGTAGCGCTCTCAGCGGGCTGTCGCCTACTTCCGCCGCCCGCTGTCAGAGGTCCCTGCACTCCACTTCCGACGATTCGAGCTTGTAAAATGAACGAACGTCGACATTGCCTTCTTTGCTTTCCTTCCGTTTTTTGTGATTAACGCAGTTGGCAATCAAAAGATTTTAGAAATCGGCCGCATACAGTTTGTTTAAAAAAATCGCCATAATTTATAGTAAACGAGTATAAATTTTCAATAAAGACTCTAAATCATCATCATGTAAAATACCCAACTTTGACATGAAATGGACTTTACACCTAATCTAATAAATCGCTAGTGCTAAGACAATTTTATACGAAACCTCACTTTAATATTTCGCGATATTTTGTTACACATACAATAAATGTTAGTGATATTATACAAACCATTCCCTCCCTTTTTTTAATACCAGATCAATTATTAGATACGCGTTTAACGAACAATTAACAGGATTTACAATAATAAATCAACCGATTCTGTTGGTTGTCGAAATATTCTTTGGATAGTCGTCACTAAAAAAGTCGCGAACTCCGCTTATAAATCCGATTATTTTTATTTTTTCCTTGCCTTTTTTGTTTATTTTTCGATTAGTCCAAGGTAACTCAGAAAGCACAAATGGCAATTATAGGGACAGAACGCTGACCAAATCGGAGAGTATGGTTCGGAAAACGTACTCGTCCGATCCGCGGCTAGGATTTGAGCAGGACACGCATATATTTTTTAAAGAAACGTGCCGAAAACGGTGACGTATAACGCGAACGGTTCGCATTACTTGAAAACCGCTTACGTGTACTACAAGACTGACGTGTTCGACGATAACTACGAGAAGGCGTTGAAGTACGAGGAGGAGCTCGACAAGGCCGAGCACTTTTTCGGCAGGGCGCGCACTTTTAGCTTCAGCGAGGCCGCCGACTGCATGCCGCGCTCGAACAGGCGCAGCGTCAAGGATCGCAACAGGCGCCGGCAATCTTACAACCCGAAGGCGTACGAGTCGAGTTCGAGCGAGAGCGACTGCGTCAGCGTCGGCTCCGTGGATCTGGACTGGCGCAGGCGCAAGCGGCTGTCGAAATTCTCCGCGTCGAACGCCAGCATCAGATCGGAGATGATCAAGAGGAACAGCACGAATCCGTTTCTGAAGCCGCAGTACAGCTTGAAGATGGCTGGGCGGTCGCCACCGCCCAGCAGTAGCGCTCTCAGCGGGCTGTCGCCTACTTCCGCCGCGCGCTGTCAGAGGTCCCTGCACTCCACTTCCGACGATTCGAGCTTGTAAAATAAACGAGCGTCGACATTGCCTTCGTTGCTTTCCTTCCGTTTTTTGTGATTAACGCAGTTGGCAATCAAAAGATCTTATAAATCGGCCGCATACAGTTTGTTTAAAAAAATCGCCATAATTTATAATAAACGAGTATAAATTTTCAATAAAGACTCTAAATCAACATCCAATAACTTTGACATGAAATGGACTTTACACCTAATCTAATAAATCGCTAGTGCTAAGACAATTTTATACGAAACCTAACTTTAATATTTCGCGATATTTTGTTACACATACAATAAATGTTAGTGATATTATACAAACCATTCCCTCCCTTTTTTAATACTAGATCAATTATTGGATACGCGTTTTAACGGACAATTAACAGGATTTACAATAATAAATCAACCGATTCTGTTGGTTGTCGAAATATTATTTGGATAGTCGTCATTAGAAAAGTAGAGAACACCGCTTATACACTTTATATACCCGATTATTTTTGTTTTGTTTTTGTTTTATTTTTTTCCTCACCTTTTTTGTTTATTTTTCGTTTAGTCCAAGGTAACTCAGGAAGCACAAATGGCATATCAAGGTCTTGTTGAGAGCCCGTCAGCCGAGGTTACTCAAGTGAGTAAAAAATTAATAAAAAGGGTCGCCTTAAAAGTGATTTTTCTAATTTTGTAGTTGATGGCAACGAATCCCTTAAGAATCTTGAGAACAGGGCAAGTGCCTGTACTAAGAAATAGATCTGCAAGTGTGGCCAGTATGCCTCCAATCAAACAGCAGGATGTACCCAGAAACTCCGTTCCTGAGAATCTAAATGGAGCTAAATTAGGTATTTAAATGTTGTTTTAAAAAAACTGACACGCTAAAATATTATACATCAAAAATGGTTCAAAAAATTGGGCATACATTAATATAATAATAATTTTTAATAATATAATGTATAAACAATAAGGTGATTCGTTTTGAAGAAACATTTATTTTTTTCTAGAAAAAAATGCCCTTAAAGTTTCAGCCCTTAATATTACTTCCAAGCATTTTTATTTTAATTTTAAAGTTTTCCATACAAATAATAAATAAATAATAGCTTGGCGACATTTTACGTTACTACAATTCATATAATTAGATCTGTGAGTGATATTTTAATGTGACCAACATTCTAAGATTTCTATTGGTTGAAAATTACCCTGTTGTCAAGTTGTCTTGTTAATGATTTCATTCGGTTATATCAGAAAATACCCGAAGAGGATATGTACAAATACTGTCACTGTCAGTTGAGTGAAAGATGGTCACCAAATTCATTAAGTACCTATCTTCCTTATTACGAGGTATCATATTACTGTTTGATATTTTAGAGTCCAAGATATATCTAAAAGAATATAAAGAACTAGGCATTATACTAATGAAATGCATTTACGACAAAATATGATTATATGATTATAGGTACTTACTTTATTTGTTTAAAAGCTCCAATGTTCAATGTAACCAACCATTCCACAAGATTCCTCTGCTTTGGAGTCCGTTATTAATAAATCACTTATCTAATATCAATTACAAATAACATAACAATAACATTGATTTTCAATAATCTAAATTTAAAAAAAACATAACCCAAAAAAAAGAAACGTCAAAAAATCAATTCTTCTTCTTCTCAACTAAAATTATAGATCAAGTGGTTTTAAAACTAAAATATTATAACGTGGCGTCATCTATCGTAAGAATCTTAAACTAAACACACTGGCAACCATAGAAAAAGTTGGCAACGTTGTCAATAGCCTAGTGACGTAATTAGGAGATTTTTTTTTGTAAATATCTCGAAAACGGTAAACTCAATTGAAATTCCGATTTCACAGAAATGTTTAATATTACAAAACGCCTTGAATAAAACCATAAAAAGTATAGGTCAGAAAAAATTTAACTACCCCATTGAATCAACAGTTTAACATTCAATATTTTCTTGGGTTTAAATTAACTAGTTAATTTAAATCCGCAAAAACTGTTGATTCAACATAATTTTTCTCTTAGTGTACGAACGTAGCGCAAAAATGATTATCCAAACACCGTTGGCATAAAAAATCACGACATGATTTTTTGTGCCATCGGTCAATCGCAAACAGCGATGGCCTAAAAAATCACGACATGATTTTCATTTCTCACGCAGTGACATTCGGATGAATAAAATTTGTGAAAATCACGACATGATGTTCGTATGAATATCACGAATGTTGTCTGGGTAGTTTAGAAGATATATAGTATTTGACAAATTTTACGGTCAACTATTGATAAAGTTTTATCGAAATTTGATAGTTAAATTTATTTAATTCTCTATATCTTTTTAACTGTGCATTTTATTGGATTAATGCATAAATTCTTTTTTTAATTTTTAATGGAAAAACTCTAAAATAGAAGTACTTTGTAGACCATTTTTTATAAATTCAACAAATGGTAGGACAAATTGTGTGAAAAACACATGTATTAAAATATTTGATAATTTGTCAGATTTCGCGAGCGAATCTCTCCCGCGCCGGCTGACGCAGCAGCGCCCGCCCCCTTTCGAGAGGTCCCGCGAAGACAACCCCATCCCGCTGCCGCCGAGAGACCGCAACAAGAGCCTGCTCACGCCGAAGCCGCGCCACACGCGCAAGCACCCGCTGATAATCCCGCCCACGAGCCTGCAGAGGACGCTCGACAAGGTGAACACCGTCTCTCCGCCGGCCGGCGCGACGGCCGAGCCGCTCTACTCGAACCACTCGGTCGGCCCGAGCGACGACGACAAGAACCCCGAGGCGATGCGCTTCGAGGCGCAGATCGAGTCGAGCCTGGACGCGCTGGACGAGATCCCGCAGGAGCGGGACGTGGTGGACGGCGCCGCGGACGGCGGCGAGGACCAGTTGACGCACCACGTGAGCTGCGAGGATTTGCTCAAGTTCGCCAACGCGAAGCCCAGCTCGAGGACCAGGGGCAACGATTCCGACGAGGTCAGGATCATGTCGAAAGTGTTGGGAAAAGATGTGAGTACCTTTTTTGCCTTACTTAGAAATTCGTACATTAAACAACAACGTATGGTATGTAATTATGTAGAGCACGTTTTGTATTAATGAAATAATGCTGTTGAATAGGGAGGTGGATAAAATTCCCCTAAAAAGGTGTGATATATAGGGTTGGGAAAATTTCACTTTTTGCTTGTACTTGAAATTTCACTTGAAATTTTCACGACTTTTATGAAATTTATTAAAATTTCCTAAATGTCTGAAATTTCATGAAATTTATTGAAACTTTCAATAAATTTCAATCACTTTAAGTGTAATATATTAATATTGAAATAAGCCCACTTGGTGACCATGGCAAATTGCCTCTCTTACCTCCTACCCCTCTGTGGGCCCCTGCACCAATAATATAAATAGTAAATACCTATGTTTACAAATTTCTTGATTTCCTTTTAAAATTACTAAAACTAAGAGAAATATAGCACTTTTTTTTATAAGCTAACGAGATTGTGCCACTTTCATTGTTTTATATTTATATATATTATTTTTATATATTTTACTGAAATTTTACGAAAATTGAAGAAACTTTATCAAAATTTTATGAGCCAAAGGCATTTTTTATCCGTTTTCCGATGCAATTATAGCAAAAGTAAAAGTTTAAATTAATCATGACTTTTAAAAAAAATTTAAATCTGATTTAATTTACTAATTAAATTGGTAACTGAATTAAATTATTTAAATTAATGTATGCATATAAGTAACAATAATTACTTATAGTGTATTCAAATCCAAGCCGAACTAAACAAAAACGCCCAGACGCTTCATAACTCGTTCTTATTGGTCGATTCGGAATGTGTTGTAAATTATTATTAAAGGTCCCAGGGGAGGCCGCATCTGAAATTTATGCGAAATTTTCAGTAAATTGCGAAACTTTCAATGAAATTCACAGGCAATGTTGAAATTTTTGGATTGAAAATTTCATTTGAAATTTTTAAAAATTTCACTTTCCAACTAAATGAAATATTTCAAGTTTGAAACTTTCAAAGTTGAAATTTTCATTTGAAAATTTCAACTGTCCCAACCCTAAATGTAGTACGTTTTGTATTAATGAAATATTGCTAAAATTCCTCCAAATAATAATAATAATAATAATAAATACTTTATTGATCCCAAGAAACATAGATTGTTTATAGAGGGACAAACTCTAAACATATAATAATTACAATAAGTATATCTATCACAGTGATAAAACATTATCTTATAAGATAATTATAGTCTTACAAATATACAATATACAAACATACTTTATACATTAATTTACATATTTACTGAACTTTTTTTTTTCAAATTCAATACTCAAGAAGAAGACACGCAGGTTAGCCTCTTATCAAGGATTGAAATACTCTTTTATATGTCTTGTCGATTTTGTTTTTATATCTTCTGGTAAGCTGTTATATATATTAACACCTCTATATAATAAACATGCTTTACCATACTTTGAAAAGACGTGTGGAACTGCTAAATTATTATTATTTCTTGTGTTGTGTAGATGTATTTCATTTCTGGCTTTAAAGTTAATATTCGTGTGTTTCTTCTCAAGTATAGAACCATGAACAAAGCTACACACCTGGTATTTATAAATATTATCAATGGACATTATTCTAAAGTTGGTATAAAGATCTTCTGAATGATATCTTGAGGGTAAACAATACAGGTTCTTTATTGACTTGTTTTGAAGAGTTTTTAGGGGCCTTATGGTGACAGCACTAGCCGTATACCATACCATCGTTAGATATTGCAGGTGAGAGTGTATTAAGGAATAATATATTGATCTTAGATATTGTTTTGGGACATTATTATTTAATTTATATAGAATACCTATGGGTCCAGCAATTTTGCTTCTTAATTTATTAATATGGTCTCGCCATGACAGTAATTCGTCAATTATTAGCCCAAGGAATTTAATATTTCTAGAATATTTTAGACTCTCACCTGCCACATCCAATGGTTGCCTATCAAATAAGTTACGCCTATAGATATACATATACGAGGACTTGTCAATATTCAAAGTTAGCTTATGAGATTTAAGCCAACTCAAAATCATCTTCAAGTCACAAACAATATTTCTCCTAATTGAGTCATAAGTGTCTGAGAAGTATACTAAGGTTGTGTCGTCGGCATATAATCTAATGTTTCCCTTAAGCTTTAAATTTGTTATTGAATTTATAAATACTATAAAAAGTGTGGGTCCTAATATAGACCCTTGCGGTACTCCAAATTTTATTTCAATTTTGTCACTGCTTATTTTGTTTATTACAACTGCCTGAGTTCTATTCCTTAAATATTCCTCAAACCATTTCACTCTTATACCTAACAGTTTTAATTTTTTTAAGAGTATAGAATGACTCACTGTATCAAAGGCTTTACAAAGATCCAGCGACACCAGTGCGCATTTATATGATTTGTCTATGTTCATTTGAATATCTGTTACTAAGTCCACTGCAGCAGAGCTGGTATCGCTGCATCTTCGAAAACCATATTGAAGCTTTGAAAGGAAGTTTATGGAGTTTAAATAGCTTATAAGTTGTCTGTTTACTATACTTTCTATGATTTTGGAGAATAGAGGCAAAACAGATATTGGTCTATAATTGTTCACATTTGATTTCTCACCACTTTTATAAACTGGTATCACCTTAGCAATTTTCATAGCACTTGGCACAGATCCACTTTTTAATGACTGGTTTATAATTCTAGTTAACACTGGTAAGATCTCGTTTTTGCACTGTTTAATCGAATTTACGTCTATATTATCGTATCCTGGAGATTTCGCCGAGTCTAGTCCCTCAACCAATTTCAAGACTTCTTCCTCAGTTACTGGTACAAAACTGAACAGCTCATCACATCCGGTTTCTATTTCCATGTCCAAGGGCATATCTGGAATTTTGTCTGCTAGTTTTCTAGCAATGCTAGTGAAATGATTGTTCATTGTGTCACAGACACTTCTCTCATCATTAACAATGTTGTTACCATCCTTTATTGAATATATATCTGTATTGTTTTTTTGTTTGTTGTTGATTAACGAATTTATAACCTTCCAGCATTTTTTTTGGTTGCCTCCTATATTTGCGAATTTATTTTTATAAAATCTAAATTTCGCTTGTCGAATTTCTTTTTTGGTGGTTTTATTTATTTCAGCATATTTAGTTTTTATAAACTCATTTCCAGGGTCATTTTTCATTTTATGAAAATAGTAATCTCTGCTCTTTATTAATTTAAATATTGTGTTATTAAACCATGGCTTGCTGTCTCCCTTAAACTTATTTTTTAAGGTAACACTAGTTGTGTTTTTTGTAAAACACAATATGAGTTTTTCATAGTTGTCATCCACACTATTGTCCTCAGTATAATGGTGATTTAGGTTTGTTAGATCAGCCTTAATTTTTTTTAAGTCTGTTATTTTTTTTGTAAAACTGCGTATTGTGTTACCCTTAATTCTTGTATTAATTGTTACTATCTGAAGTTCGTGATCACTTATTGAGCTTCCTATCACCGATGCTTTGCAAGTTTGTAGATTTGAGTTGGTGAGAATGTGGTCTATAAGTGTGGAGCTGTCTTTAGTTATTCTTGTGGGCAGTAGTTTATTTACAAACTCAAATCCATTACTTATACATAGCTGTTTGTATTCTAAGCTGGCATCTCCTAGAATGTCCATATTAAAGTCACCTATAACATAGGTCTTTAGCCTTTGTGAGCTGCTCAGTTTCTCCTCAATAAAGTGCATGGTCGAGTCCAAACTCTTGAAATCCGGAGGTACATAGATGGCCCCAATATTTATTCCAATATCTGTTATGTTTACAGAGACATAGGATATATTTCCATGGTTAACTTCATTTATTTTGTACTTAATGTGGTCTTTTATGAAAATCGCTGCTCCTCCTCCTTTTCTTTTTCTGGTAGCATATTCTGCATTATACCCTGGTATGTTATAGTAAGGAATATCTTCAGATTTAACCCAAGTTTCGGAAACCACAATGATATCTATATTATCCTTGATTGTGTATAACATTATTTCTATTAAGTCAATTTTGTTTTTTATAGATCGACTATTAAAATACAATACATTTACTAAACCAGCGTTATGCATAGCCTTGTCATTATAATCTATCAAGTCTACATATTTTTGCACATCACCCATAAAGAAAACAAATACAAGAACATTATATCACATACTAAGTATCTATTTATCACATGTTTAGACTGCTACTGCAGTGAGACTCTCTATTTGTTTTAGGCTTTTTAATTTTATGATTGGAGAATCATCAATTTTTCTGCAAAAAACATTTCCGTCCTTTTGCCAGACATATTTGTAGTCGTGTTGTCTTAGTGATCTAGCCTTATTAAATAAAACTCTGGATTCATATGGTATGTCCTCATTTATGTAAATTTTAGTGTTTTCTCCTTCAATATTGCACTTTGATGAATCCATTTTACCTTCTTTTTTCCTATTTTCTAGTATTTTGTTCCTATCTTCAGTATTTTGAAGCATTACCAGAACAGGCTTGGATGGGTTCTTACTTGACAGTAGTTTTATTGTAAAACTACACTCCACGTTTAAGGTATTAAATATTTTTTTTACATCTTGCTTAAGTTCATTGTCTACAGTATTTTTAAGCCCAACTATAACCAAGTTTTTGTCATTGTTTTGATTTTCATCTTTTGATATTTTTGTTTTTAGTATAGTTACTTCCTTGCCAAGTTCAGCGATCTTTTGTTTTAATTGCTCGTTGTCTTTACTGTTCTTTTTTGATTCCTTAGCAGCCTTTTCAACTTTTTCTTTCATGGCTTCTATTAAAGTATTGCAGAAACTCATAGCATTCTCCAATTCTCCAAATTTTTTATCAAAGTATGCTGTGAGTTCTTTATTTAGCTGATTTCTTTTTGTGTTTTTTTTCTTGGACTTTTTTGTTTCTGTTTCCTCCTCTGAGCTAGATAGTTCAGAAGCGTCTTCTTGGCCAGAAAGGTTTCTTTTAATCACGCACGTATCACACGTCCATATGATTTTATTTTTCTTCGCTTTATCCAGATCATCCTTGTCAATGGCTGTGCATGCAGTATTTAAATGAAACCAGTCTTTGCATACCCCATTGCACTGTATTTTGTACCCCTTAGCCCCAAGTTTGTTATTGCATTTGGGGCAAAGTGGGCCCATGCTTATATTTGAGGTTAGGTGTAACATACTTTATTTGCGACACTTTACGTTTGGTGTTGTTGTCTGTTTTTTAATGATTTTGGATACTTCTCAACCCTTTTTGACGCTTTGCCACGTTTATTTCAGACTTTTTAAAATTTTCTTTTATTAATTCATGCATAGTTTTGGTCTTATGACCCCTTTTTCGTAAAGAAAACAAATCCAATTTGGCAGTAAAAAATAATTTTAAATTTTAACAAAAATATTTTAGAAGATATATATCTATATTAGGGTCACTCCCCAAGCAAAACCTTGATGTACATATCAAGAAAAAAATGCCCTTAAAGTTTCAGCCCTTTAAATCAAAAATCAAAATAAAAGTACTTAAAAGTAAAATTAAGGCCTGAAATTTTAAACAATTAAAATTGGTAAAATATTTAAAGAATAAACCAAAATAATTCTTGCTAAAATTTAAAATTTCAATTAACCTTCTGTAAACACATAGGGGGCAAAATTTGCCAAGTGTACCAGGTGAAAAATTTTTTGTCACCGATTTTGTTTAAACTTTACTTATTTGTTGTTCTTATAACGAAGAATCATAGCATAAAATTTTTTTGCTCTAGGATTGTTCATTCAAGAGTTATGGATTATTGAAATTTATCGATTTATTACTTTTTGGTGAAATCGCTTTTTATTTAAAAATTCATAACTTCTGTTCATCTCTTTATTAAATATTTCAATTTAACCACCTTAAGTGATTTTTTCCGTACTTTTCAATGGGCTATACCGTTTTTGCAAAAAAATAAAAATTGCAATTTTTTTTTGAAATTTTGCACAATTTTGCATTTTTTGAAACAATGTGTATTTTTTAATTTTTTTTTAAAATAGCATAAAATCGAAGTTTATTATGTTACCTTTGAATAAAAAAAAAATTTAGAGTAGGCCCGACATGCAGAAGGGAAGTTTTTCATATTTGAATGCCGCACGGTCTAGCCATCGAATAGCTACTACACTGCCGTATGCGTTTATACCTAGTAGATGCGAGTAAACGAATACAAAATGATAATTTAAAATGTAAAATTATGTTTGAGTAGTCAATGATGTATTTTAAATATTTACACTGCCGCACGATATAGTTTTTTTTATTGGGAATTAGTCCTTCAGAGGGGACTTTAAGCCCGCGGTCCGTTCCTATCCCTAACCCGCACAAGCCATTCAGTTGGCTTATGGGACTTCTTACGAAGTAAGGGTGGAACTAAAAAAACACTTTTGTATATAAACTGTATTTTTTTGCACAAATTGTTTAAGCATGGGTCTACATAGATTTCGCAAGGAGGGTCAATGATAAAAAATGTATTGTTATAACCGTAAAGGCGCCATTCAGCTTATAGGCAAGCCGTTACGGTTATAACAATAAATTTTTATTTAATATCATCGATCCTCCTTGCGAAATCTATGTAGACCCATGCTTAAACAATTTGTGCAAAAAAATACAGTTAAAAAACTATATCGTGCGGCAGTGTAAATATTTAAAATACATCATTGACTACTCAAACATAATTTTACATTTTAAATTATCATTTTGTATTCGTTTACTCGCATCCACTAGGTATAAACGCATACGGCAGTGTAGTAGCTATTCGATGGCTAGACCGTGCGGCATTCAAATATGAAAAACTTCCCTTCTACATGTCGGGCCCACTCTAAATATTTTTTTTATTCAAAGGTAACATAATAAACTTGGATTTTATGCTATTTTAAAAAAAATTAAAAAATACACATTGTTTTAAAAAATGCAAAATTTTGCAAAATTTCAAAAAAAAATTGCAATTTTTATTTTTTTGCAAAAATGGTATAGCCCATTGAAAAGTACGGAAAAAATCATTTAAGGAGGTTAAATTAAAATATTTAATAAAGAGATGAACAGAAGTTATGAATTTTTAAATAAAAAGTGATTTCACCAAAAAGTAAAAAATCGATAAATTTCAATAATCAATAACTCTTGAATGAACAATCCTAGAGCAAAAAAAATTGATGCTATGATTCTTCGTTATAAGAACAACAAATAAGTAAAGTTTAAACAAAATCGGTGACAAAAATTTTTTCACCTGGTACACTTGGTAAATTTTGCCCCATAGGTATCTCTTAAAATATTAATTTAAAACTTTTTTAGCAGAAGACTTAATTTCCTACAAAAAAGTAGAGTATGTAAATGTTAATTATCGAAGCGCCGACTTTGAAATCTAAATAAAAATTGAAATTATCGTCAAAATAACATTAGATTTGTCTTCAAAAAATCTACAAAAAAAACGTGTTTTCCGAATCTTGCCATAACTTTAGTGAAAAATGGATTTTGATGGTCATAAAAAATAGTATTTTAGTTTTTAGTTTTTAAAATACCCTCTTTGTGTTTGGACATAACTGCCAATATGGTTGATGAAACAATCAAAAACTGAATGTTTTTACAGGTTACAACAGAAAAATGCTTGGAAGCCCTGGACCAGATCGATTGGGACGTGATGAAGGCAATCAAAATCGTCAAAGTTCAAAATGTGGTCGTAAGTGCGGACCTAAGCACTTGCCTGAGTGCATTGGAGAAAAACACTTGGGATATAACCAAAGCTGCTCAATGGATATTGCAACAAGATGAAGTCACTCAAGTCTAATTATACACTTTGTATTGTATTTTACACTCTTTTTATATTGTTTGTTGAAAATTCGAATTAAGTTGAGAAATTTATCAAATTTATTTATTAATCTTGCCAATTATATTTATACCAGTTTTATGTTAATCAAACATATTTATGTGAATAAAAATTTTATATAACGACCATTGTGTAATTATTTATATAAATAATAAACAGATAAGTACATAATTAGTATATTATTCACAGAAAACAACATAAACAATACATTCTATAAAAAAATAAACAAAATAAAATTGATAGAATAAAGTATATATGTACATAAATGAATTAAATTAAAAAGTCTTGTTAAGAGAAAGGAAGTAAGTATTTACACATATTCCTAGTTAATCCTATATCCCATAATGAAGGGAATTCCAGTCGATACTTTTTTCTGATAATCACAGTAATGTTGTCCATAGAAATTCAACAAAGTAATCTCCTCCATGATGATTCTCCCATTGAAAAACATCCAACTTGCAGCTGCATAAGCCAATATGCAAAAGGGGTTTATCAGAACAATCTAAAAAGAATTTTTTATGTTTGGTGTTTGCAAAATTGTGCAATTGGCATTATTTTATGAAATTCATAAAAATTAAGATAAAAAGAAAAAAATCATATGCTAATTGCTATGCTATTTTCTATTTATTATTACAGTACATAGATTTTTTCTGATAAAAGTAGTTTTTTATTTATTTTAATGTTTTAATAGTATATTATTTTTTTAAATGCCATTTCAGTTACGAGCGACTGATTAATAAAAACGAGTGTCCAGAGAAGTTTATAAAACGAGTTGCATTTTATACTTTATCTAGAACAAACACAAAAAAAAATGTAAAGCCAATTTTACTTGTTAAACATTTAACATCTGTCAAATCATTTGACTCAAATGTCAACGGATTTAACCTCACTTTTCCCCTATTTAAAATAAAGCTAACTTCACACATTGTGGCTAACTTCAGCCTAAACTTAATCAAAGCTAAAATTTACAATATCTTGAAAACCACTGGTCAAAAAGATGTAATAATTAAAAAACAATTTAAATTTTTTTATAACAATAATTATTAAATATTAAAACAAAATATGTAATAAAAAAATTTAAACACCAAATTCCTTAAAACTGGTTTGTGCGCTATTTTTCAGATCCCCTGTATAAATTTTAAACTTACTTGAGTGGCAATGGACCAATAAAACCATCCCACATAACTTGGGTGTCTGAACCAAGCATATACTCCGTTTGTAACCAAATGATGTTTGCTGGATTTTTCATAAGCAACCTGAAAAATGCACTTTTCTGCACTGCTGTGGGTGTGGTAAATTTACATTTTCTTACCACATGATTAAAGCTTGTTCCAGCAGTCAACATTGAAATTTTTCTCAATAATTCACCAAGAATGCATACTAGCAACCCAAAATATGAAATCCAATGATATTTTTTAATTTCTAAAAAAATTAACTACATTTTGAAATAAAACTCCAGAGTATAGGATTTTTTTTACCAGCCAAAAAGTAAGCTTCAAGAAAAAACTCAATCCATGATGTAACGGCTGCAATATTATACTGAGGACTATGGTTAATTAAAAATGAATTTGTTGACAACTCCTGGGGTTGTATAAGAGAAATAACAATGTATTCGCTAAAATGGAAGAATGCCATTACACACATGTAAATCCCGAATATTTGTACATAGCTGGGCGTAGCGAGGTATATGTAAACTCCTAGCGCAAAAAAGGTCCCCAAAAAACTAGCTCGAATAGCAATCTACAAAAAAAACACAATTATATGGAAGCAAGTGTAATAATGACGTACATACCTGGAAGTCATCTTGTACGTAAATAACGTAAATTGAGGATATTATGGCACAGAATAATAGGGTAAACAAACCACATATTGCAAGTATATTACTTAAATGGTATAAGCAAACTATTTCGATGCATGAAAAGACTAATAAACTTAACGTAAAACATGTTGTAGCTACTTTGGTTTCGTGCCGGATCAGTTTGCAAATATTTGTGAGAGGCATATTAAAAATAAATGGTTAAAACATCACAGCTGGGGTTTGAAATACAAATCTGACATTTGTGACAGCTACAGCGGCAGCGGTAATAAAAATGGATTAGATTAAATTATCGTCTATTTTCATTCAAATTAATGGTTTTAATGAGGCAATTATGCTATGTTTACTTATTTAAATGTAGAGTATCGAGTTAATAATAAAATTGAGTTTATCATTTTTATAAAATAAAATTTGACCCAATAGATAGGGGAGCAGCTCATTGCATCGAAACTCAATAGATCGAATCTCGCCAGATCGAAAATTTACATGACCTTCGAAGCTCACCAGATCGAAAATGTGTGGCATCGTCGCACTTTAAACATCAAATTGGTAAGGTTTGGTTCACATTTTTCATTAGGAAAAAGCGATTTTTCTTAAATGCAAACAAAGTTCGATCTGGGATGCCTGTAGATGTATATACAGTATAGTAGTTTAAGCAACAAAATTTAAAAAGTTATTTATTCTTAGGTAGGTACTTTAAAATGGTAATTTGTATTTATATGAATACTTGAAAACATTGACAAGTGATGTTGTATTTTTATTCTATGGTTGTAAGAAGTGATTTTGACATGTAAGTTTAAAAATATTTTTTATAATAAAATTAAGTTTTTTTTTGTAGAATTCCAATTACCTATTCAAAGTTGAAAGTAGAAACAGTTGGTCAATTTAGGATAGATTTGTAGCATGACCATTAAATTTTCCCCAGGGCAACAGTAATACATGTCAGCATCTCCAACCAGTCCTTTAAACATTTTAAATTTTGAAATAATAGAATTAATATCTTAGATGACCTTTTTATGTATAATTTGATGAGTATGCACTTAATATCTATTTTAAATGTGTGTTTTACTAAATATTGTATGTTTTCAGTACCCCCTGAGGATGCCGAAAGGTGAAAGTAGTCAAGATAATTAAAAAATAAAAATATCCATGATGCGAAAGTGTCACCGACACTAAGTTAGACAAAGGAGAGAAACATACAAGATCTTTTATGTATCCTTCGAAGGATAGTATGTGACAAGGGGTGAAACAGAATTGGCAAAACTGAAAACATGACTCCTAATCGATGAGTTGCCAGTTGGTACAAAATTATGCAACCAAGCACACATACACGTATGCTTTGTTGCTTGATTCTTCCAAAACTCGGCCATGGTGAAAAAAAGTCGGACATGTTTTGTGTGCCATTGGGTCCTGTTTGCTTATAAGAACTTCTTAAGAAGGCTTATTTAACTGTGTACAGTTTAAAACGTAAGTATTTTGTTTAATTGTCAGCTTTTTAGCAAACCTTGGTTTTCTATTACTGAAGTCCAGTTGGTTCATAAAAAAGAATAATTCGGTTATTAACTTGTGGCAATACAAATAAAGCAATATTATAAACTTGTCAGTGTTCTAAAATATATTAGTAAAAATTATAATCAATACTTTACAAACAAAATTATTTGGAATGAAAAAATATTAGAAGCAGTTTAAATTGTTAATAACAACAATTTGTTATGTTTTATTTCAAATGTTAAATCTTATAGGTTTGTTACCTTATTTTTTAACCAAAGTTTACTAATTATTATTATAGTCATTGCAATAATATTGTAACATAATTATTAATAGCCACATAAAATTTTTTGAATAATGTGTACATTTAAATACATCCATTTAGATACATAAATGAGAAAAATGCATCCAAAAAGAATTTAACAGTGGAACATTTTAAAAAAATTTAAAAAAGGTAGAATTTTTTAAATTTAAATTTCATCAGTGTTAATGTCTGTTATATTATTGTTTTACCAAAAATTGCCCAATATATTTTTGCTTTAAATTTTATGTTAATTAAATTTTTAATTTTTAAAAGGAGTTGGAATATGGAAGCCATGGGACACCAACCTGAGAATATAAACTGAATGCAATTAAAGTTGGAATATGAAATGTATAGGTATAACACTACCCTAAGAACATAAACCTTACATAAATGCAACACAACCCCCAAGTTTGAATAAGGAATCCATTGTACACCAACAGGCAGACATAAACCCTACTTAAGTAGGCTACATAATATTTATCCATATTATAGATATTATGTGCCACTATCCTAAGAACATAAACCAAAATATGTCAAAAATTTTGTACTGCATTTTTTAATATCTTCAAGTTAAAGGATAACATAAAAGTTAAATGATATGCATATTCTTATTTTTGTAAGGAAATAATAAATCATTACCTATATTAAATTTTTTTTTTTAAATACTAAACAATTAGGTACCTATATTTTATTATTAATTTATTTTTGTAAAAGTAACTTTTTATTATTAAATTTGCTTTTACTACTCTTTTTTTGTAAGTTATAGAGTTTTTTAAGACTGATGGACTTTTTTGTAGGTAATGCAGTTATTATATCTCTAGATGAAAGTCCAAAATTTTAAATATAATCAATCAAAATTTAAACAAGTTTTCAATATATTAAATACCTTTTTTTGAATCCTATAATATTGTACAAGTATAAATTAAAAACTTTATTTTAAGAGAATTATATAATATTTTTAAACTAATTTATATATAAAATAGTTTTAAAATATAAATTATTAATATATATTAAAAACTGGTTTAAATTTTGATTGGTCATATTTAAAATTTTGGACTTAACGTACTTTGGCTCTGAGTTATAGAATCTATACTATAGATATATATGTAGATAGAGTTAATTTTTTATTTAGTTAGACTCAAGTGATTTTATTAAGTTTTTAGTTAAGGCCAGTTTGTAATTAATTTACTCCAATACACTTTAAAGTGTAAGTAACAATTGTTAACTTCTTTTTAAAGAACATCTTATGTAGTGTTCTGTTAATAATATTATTATGCTAAGTTAGTATTGTTAACAAACCCCTAATATTGTTAAACCTGTTAAATTCTTAAAAAGATCTTAAATATTCATAGAAAATTAATGTAATTTCGTATTTTATTAAGCACTATGAAATTGTGTACACCTTTCCTTGTAGAATCAGGTAATGAAGTGATAAGGATAGGAATAGTATTACTATAATCAATGATATAATATTGTTATTATTACTTATGCTTGCTTTTAATAATTTTCAAATTACTGTTTTTACCTCGGTTTTTTACTATTATTTAGTCGTTATGTGACTAAATAATTTTTATTTTTCATTTATGTTCTGTACCACTTATTGGAAGTATCAACATTTTTATTTTTGTAAATATATGTAAATATTTTTTTAAATTTGTGTTTTTTTTAGAAAATTAAAAAATAATGAAATACCTATAGAAATAAATAGAAATTTAAAAGCCGGGCCTGCTATGTCCATCAACCAGCAAAGAGTTTCTCTAGGGGCCACACTGAGAAAATTCCAATCTTAAATTATCTTAATGAAATTATCTACATAGTGTTCAAAATATATCTAATAACCAGTACAAATTATCTATCTGTGACATGAAGACGAATTAAGGTGACTAATAGATACGTTTTAATAAATTGTCCAAACAAAAAATATAGATCATCTATATTTATATTTTAACAATCATAAAATATCTAAATACCACCATAAACTCAGATTAATATGTCGCTGTTCTTTAAATTATTTTAATGCCAGTGATAAATAACTAAATATGGTTAATAGACGACCTTATTAAAACTTGTCTTAATAACCATTACTAGTCAATTGTGAATTCACATAATATAAGATTGTGAACCACCTTAAATTATCTAAAGACCTTAAGAAGTTGTATAATAGCCTTAACAAACTCATCTACCTAACTAACAGATTCGGCTTTCCGACTATACTCGAATCGACCAATCGTTTAACTAGCGTCCACAGCACAGAACAGCGTCCTCTGTGGTAGCGTCATTTATTATTTCTCACTTGTTTACGGGAAATTGAGGATAATATTGAATCGTTTATAGAAGAAAAAGGGCGTTTCTTCACAATTGTTTTGCGGTAATTTTACAGAACATGGTAATGGCTTTCAAAGTTACTCTGCTTGAATGGGGGCTCAGTGATTTTGTTAAAGGATTTGAAGGTAGGTTCAATTTCTTTCTATATAGTTTCCGGGGTCCCTGCATAAAGCATTTAATGTATTTATTATGCTGATACTTTTATAAATGTATGCTTTGAAGTTTATTTTATAGGATATTGGTAAAATCTGAAATATATTTTTGGTAAAATGTTAACAATTTATTATTATTAGGTACCATATTTATAAATAAAACAGCTTGAGAAAAATTACCAAGATTTTTAATAGGTCAGAATATTGGCTTTGATTCCTTAATTTATTATTTAATTATACATGTATAAAGTTATAATTTTAAGATGGCCTATCTGCTGAAATAGTTTAATTTTTTTAAAGCTCAATTGTTATCTTTCTTTTAGGGTAGACTGGCTAAAAATGTTCAGAAAATTATGGAGTTAACTAAATGGAAATAATCCTTAAAAGTATTATTAATTAATATTTCTACTAAAAGTATACCCAGGTAGCACACTGACGTATGCTGACGTTTATATGACTTCTACTGACGTTAAAATGACGTTAGCAAAGTCATTTTAACGTCATATAAACGTCAGTGTGCTACCTGGGTATACCCTTTATAAAGTCTTGAAAATGAAAATAAAGTCCCAACGCAGAAAATGCACTAATAAGGTCGTCTAGTAAAAATAATTTCGGTATTTATCTCTATTTTATTTTCTAAGGAAAGCATTAATTTATGCTAATTGCGATATGTTTTTCTGATTTTTTTATAAACATTTAGGTTTAGTTTAGGTTGATGAAAATAATGGTGTTAATGCATTTTTTTTGCGTTGGGGCTTTATTTTATTTTCAAGACTTTACTTTTAGTAGAAATAATGCTTTTAAGATTTATTTTCGTTTATTTATACCATGGTGCAGCTCCATTTATAATAAAATTAAACTATTGCCGTAAATAGGCCATCTTAATATGATAGCTATAGCATATTATTATGGCAAATAAATATATTTAGGATCATATTAAGATAGCATAAGAGGATATTAGGATGGAATTAAGATGATCATAAAATAATATATTTACCATTATAAGATTATTTATTTGCCATATATGTACCAATTTAGGATCATATTAAGATGTCATAAGAAGATATTTAAGTGATATTAAGATGATCCTAAAATAATATATTAACCCTTATAAGATATATATTAATGGCCGATATAAAAACTTTTGATGGTCTTATAATAATTGTATTAAGTTTGCCTATTGATGGTCACAAAGTATAGTTATTAATTTTCTCGGTGCATCATTCATCCCCCCTTGGACCAAGGGGGGATGAGGGCCTTGGTAAGATTTAGCTCGACCCTCTCCCTAATCTCAAGTGAGATTTTTCAAATTGCGTATTTTTAGAATAAATACGTTAATCTGGGCTTGATTGATGTTTTTTACACTGTTTATCCTCTCTGGTGTTTCTCGAGGGAAAAAAATTACGTGATATTTGCCGAGCCCTCCCTCTACCCCACGTGTGATTGGATGAGAATTGGCTCTTCCCCCCTAAACGCCTCACTTAATTAATGGACGGCCCATTATATATATATATCCTTTTTCTATGCGATCATCGACTGTCTGCCCCTTGTCTCTGCTGTCTGCATTCCACTCTGTGCTGCACTTAAAGAATGTTTCCAGTTTTTGATCTAGCAGACAGTTCCTCTGAGGATGCTGCTGAAGCTGAAGCTGAAGAGATCCGCAAATGGCAGTGTGTGGTATGCTTTCGAAAGCGTAGAAGGTTTCTCCTAAGGGAATGTAGACATTACTGCATTTGCCGGAGTTGTGCTTCACGTTTTCGGAAACGTAGGAATGAGGAGGACGATTCGCCTAGTACTAGGTGCCCTTACTGTCGAACACCCATAATGACATCCCCCATTGAGGTGTTGTATTAGATGTATTTTTTTCATGGATTGTAATAATGCATTAATTTTTGCTTATTTTTAATTAATAGGTAGGTAGGTATGTTGTTTTTTTCATAGGTCTTTAAATTTTTTTTTTTTTTTAATGTATTTATTGAACCCAAAAAAACAAACGTTCATAACAGGTTAACATAAATATAAAATAAAATAAGGCTTTTTGTGTTTAACAAAATACTATAAATATACAATATATACAAAATAAATTAAAGTGTGTTATTTCTAGATAATAAATAATTTTTTATAGCTCTGTTAAAGTTTATAACATCTAAGTCCTTAATACTATTTGAGAGTTCATTGTACCATAGGTCTTTAAATTTTTTTCATAGGTCTTTAAATTGGATACTTTTTTTTTCCTAGGTGACTTAAGAGAATTCTCAAGCCTTGCGGGGTTGATATTGGCAATGCTTCGGGATCAGGTTGTGTGGAAGTTTCGTTTTCATAGACCTCATTGCTTCATATGAATGATGAATATTCATCATTCATTCATTCATCAATTATTCATTCATCATTCGTTCATCATTCATTCATTCATTTAACATTTATTCTTCGTTCATTCATCATTCATTCATAATTCATTCATTCATCATTCATTCATCATCGTTCATGTATCATGCATTAATCATTTATGCATTATTCATTCGTCATCCATTTATCATCCATTCATCATTCATTCGGCATTTATTCATTCATTATTTTTCATTCATGCATCATTCATTCATCATTTATGCATCATTCATTCATCATTCATAAATATGACGATATATTCTGCAGCTTAAGCTCTTGTTCATCCTATGTTGCTCCTATCTAAACTGGCGAAGAAGATTCCGAAATTAGCATTGACGCATCCGTAAGTTTATTTTTTATGACCGTGGAATAGGCCTACTGGGGAAACCACGTTAAAAAAAACGCGCCTTGGACTCTACCTCAAGGGTGGTGAGGAAAAGAGTTGATCAAAACATAACTGGAATTTAAGTTTTAACTCATTGTTAATGCTAACATGATTACAGAATCTGTATAACGAATCATTTGGCAGCGACAACAGGAACGCCTAAATGCAGGAATGGGCTCCATCTTAATATAAATTTTGCGTAAAATAAAACCAAATCAAACCAAACCCTACCAACCCAACCCCCCATAACCGCCCTATTGAAGCCTAACCACCCTATTGAAGACGATTATTCCATCGGTAACAAAGTTCGAGATAAAGGGCAATGCACGAAGGAATAATCGTCTTCAATAGGGTGGTTAGGCTTCAATAGGGCGGTTACGGGGGGTTGGGTTGGTTGGGTTTGGTTTGATTTGGTTTGTTTTATTTTACGCAAAAATTATATTAAGATGGAGCACATTCCTGCATTTAGGCGTTCCTGCGACAACAAGGCAAATTTAGAATTAAATCTATCTGTCAAAAGCCCAGCGCCAACTACATGCGGCAGCATCAGCAAATGCAGCGTTAGCCGATGCCTCCGCAGAATTTACCGAAGCACCACCAGAAACCGAGGAATCCTCTGAAGGATCAGCCTGAAGTTTTCCACGAAGAACGTGGCAATACCAGATTTTTTTTTATTTGATTATTTACAGTTTTTTATAATACCTAGGTAACATAATATTTTTGTTTTATAAGAGAAAATAAATATTTTTTATATAATTTTGTATTATAATTTACAATAGAAATATGAATATTCCCACAACAATCCTGTATTTTCTGTAAATCTGAAATAATATGGCTTCAAATCATTTAATCTTTAATATTTTACGTGATATGGATGTAGGTATTATCTTTGCTTTCGTGTATTTACCCTTCAGGTTAATCTGTACAGAAAAACTCAAAGGGTACCCTACGTATACCCTATACCTATAGGGTATACCGTTTGAGTTTATATATATATATATATATATATCCCTACATTGAAGCAAAGATAATACCTACATATGTAGATATCTTTAAATACATCACAGAAAAAAGTAAAAAACTAATTAGTTAAAGCATACCTACCTACTCCATAGAAAAAAAAATAACCCTCCATGAGTCCTGGATATAACACCAAGTTACACTTAGCGGCCATTCATTAATTACGTAAGGACGATTTTGGCCATTTTTGACCCCCCTGTCCCCATGTAAGATCACATAAGATTTTTCGGACTCCCCCTCCCCCTTCTTACGTAAGATTTTATCTGGTTTTAGAAAATGATAAGAATGGCTTTTAGCCCCCCTCCCCCGAGATAAGGGTATGGGGAGATTTTGAGAACCCCCCCTCCCACATCGGGACCCTTACGTAATTAATGAATTGCCCCTTACACGTAACTCACAATATGAGTAAGTAGGTATATTAATATTTATTTATAAAACCATGCATATGAGTATATTAATATTTATTTATAAAACCATGCATTTTCCATGATTTATTTGCAAGGAATGTATGGTTATTCCCCTTATACATTGACAACACTTTCCAAAATTTATTCCAATAATTATTATTTTATATATGAATTTTCCGATATTAAAAAAAAATCTGAGAAGGGGATTTTATATTTATCTGTACTTTTATTTGATAAATATCATTGCATACCTATCTGCCAGATTCTGGTTCAGATGTATACTACTTTTCTTTGACCGAAATCTTGTTTGAACGAAAGTAGGTAGATCTCATTTAAGAAAATACGTTTTTTGTATAAAACATGTGAACAAAGCCTTAAGCCTTTGACGTTTCAAAAGAGACGTTGCCACACATTTTCGATCTGGTGAGCTTCGAAGGTCATGTAAATTTTCGATCTAGCGAGATTCGATCTATTGAGTTTCGATGCATCGAGGCGTACCCATAGATAGTGGCCGTGGTGCCAGATTGGGCGCTTTATCGCAAATTGGCGATTTTAACACAGAAGGGTTGTTGTGGAAACAAAATAGACGAGGTATAGCAGCCTATTAGAAATTAACACGGTTGACATATAAATTGTTTGACAGTTTGTAGCCATATAATATGCAGGGTGTTATGTAATTAATGTAATATATTAAAATGGGTAGTTCCTTAGGGTCCATAAAGAAGCACCTGAAACTTTTTTTTTCTACATTTTAAAGACAAAAATAATTTATAATAACCTTTATAAGTACGCCACTGCTCGACTAGGAACTTTAGGCTAGCCTGGTTGCCAAATTTAATTTATTATGTTATGGTTGGCAACAACCAGCGTTTCCAGATTCTGTCAAAAAAAGTTGCCAGATTTTGTTTAAATTGACTTAATTACAAAAATGATATAATCAAGAATGCAAATTGTTAATTTGGCGTTTTTATTAATTGTTGATTATGTCATTTTTGTAATAAAGGTAAATTCAACAAAATCTGTCAACTTTTATTACAGAATCTGGTAAGTAACCATTAATAGACCTATCCCATAAAACAGACTTTTGGATAGCGCGTGCGTGAAAAGGCACGTCGTCTTTTTTTAATTATATAAAAGAGAAAGAGATACCACTCTTCTTCAGGCACGCGCTATCCAAATTTTAGGTTATGTGCTTAAATTAAATTAAAGTTCTTTTGGATTTATTTACACAAACTAAATGTTTAAGGAAGAAAAAAAAAGATGAAAAAAATAATTTTGTGGTTATGGAGTTTTTAAAATAGGTACTAAATTTTCTAATCATTGCAAGCATGCTTCAGCTAATAGCTGGATGATTAAATAAATATAAACTTGACCAATATTTTGTTAAGACATTTTTTTAAATAATTTTTTGTAGAAATGAAATTATTATTGCTTTTTCATTCCGGAAACACAAAATAATTATAAACCAATTGTACGATATGAAGCAAATATAAAATTTAAGGAAAGAAACAAAGAGTTTAAACTTTATTTATGAATACATCATTTAACTGAACATTATCAAATTGAAATAGTATTGGGTAATACAATATTTGTAATTTATTGAATCACACCATCCAGCGATCCATATATTTTACTTCTCGAACAGAGTGTTAATGTAGGCGCCTGTAGCTGCTCCAATTGACCCCCCAATCGCAGTCGTAACCCCCGATCCCAAAATTGAGCCGGTGGCCCCGACACTTTGAAGGGTGGCCACAACCCCCCCAGCTGCAGTTGCTCCACCGGAACAACTCATCATCATTGCTGCTGTGGATTTTGCAGCTATACCAGCTGCTGTAAATCCCACGGCCGATACGATTGCTGGTCCAGCGGCTATCGCTACGCCTGCACCAACGACCCCAGCAGTGAGAGTGCCAGCGTTATCTACCACCACAGATACCACCCAACCTAACATTGCAAACCCAGAGGAACTATTTTCACCCAACAGAATTTGATATTACCCAACGGTAAATTTAATGTGTTGTACTTGTACCAGAGACAACAACGAGACGGTCACAGACACAGACAAACACAGAGACAAAGAAGGTCAAGACGGTCAAGTGACTTGACTTGTTTTGGTTTTGGTTTTATTTGTGTCTATATATAGACAGCAGTGTTGCCGCAACCAAATATGTAAATGTACCAAAGAAATTTGCTAAAATGTACCCAAATGTACCAAATTCTAAATATGTACAAAATTCATATATAAATGCGTTCTGCTTTAAAAATATTAAGACAATAAAACAAACATTAGGTTTTTAGTATAATATAATAAAATTTCAAATATAAAAAAATACAAAACAAAAACAATTTATTTTCAAATCTAAAAAAATATGCGAAGTCAAAATTTGATATCAGTGGTCTAAAGTTTAGACTATACAAACCTATTTCAATAAAAAATTGATATATTATCGACAAAATTGTAAAAAACTAACAAAGAAAAAGTTTCTTTTTCATACATTTTTTATTACTTACTAAAGAAATAAATTATAATTCATATTTTAAATATAGCAACGCAAAAAACTGAAAGCATTAAAAAAAACAGTTTTTTGACAAAATTTTTGACAGATCTACATGGAAGATTTTCATTTTACTTATTTTTGAATACTTAGTTGGTAAGTATTTTTTTTTAAATGTTTCAAAGTTGTTCTATTTTTTTCGTTAAAAACGGTGTTCGGTGAACCGTGTGATGTTTGTTAAATATTCATAAAGTTGAACATTAGGAAATTCAGTATTTCAAAATGTACCCGATTTAAGGGTATTTGTCGTAAAATGTACTTGTGTACCATGAACGAAAAAATGTACCCAATTGGGTACAATTGTACCCAAACGGCAACACTGATAGACAGTGTTGCCAGATGTAAAAGTTGAAATTATCAAATTGACCATATGCAAGGAATGCGGTCGATGTGTCCAATGGTAAAAAAATATAATTCCCTATTGGGAACATTCAATTATATTACGTTGGCTACACTGAAATTTTGAATTTCCCGCACAAACTGACATACATTCTAGTAGTTTAGTAGATAAAGAAGGTAGTTCCAATGTTGTATAATAAATGAAGGTGCGAATTTCAAATGTGGGAATTATTATTTATTATTATTAAAAAAAAAGATGGAAATTAATTTAGTTTGTGCGGGAAATTCGAATTTTTAGAAAATTATAAAATTTGTTAAAAATAGTATAAAGCTGGATTTATAGTTCAGAAAGTAACGGTAGCGGTAATGGCCAGTGCTGCCGGAGCCATATGTCCATAGATTAGATAAAGTGCATATGTCAGCATCACCTGCATGCGCGAATGAAAATACCCGCTTTTACCCGCCATTTTAATTTTAGAAACCTCCAAATTTAAATGTAAAAAAAACAATCAAATAAAATCTTTTATATTTCTGTAAAACATTACAAAATAAATAACGCTTATAAATTATAATAATGATTATAGTATAAATGATACTGTATCATTCATTTTTTTTAAAGATGTTCAATGCAAGAATTCATATGCATTTCTTCTGGCTGGTTCACTGTTGACTTGTTTTCCAAATTTTAGCATTGATCATTTCCTGACTTCCAAACTTAAGGCAAGCTCCCATGTCTTTAATGCCTTGTTTTGTAGATATTAAAGACGGCAACGTTGTAGTGTCTAACGAATTTCTATGATCGGTCTTAATATTTTTTAGGTCACTGAAAATTCACCAAACACCAAAATTTGTCATCGGCAAGTAGCGACGAAACCACAGATGTGGATGTGGACGAACACGTCCACACTACACGGCATTCGGCGAAATATGTCTGGCACCGGTGAATGACCTTTGAGTTGGCTGGTTGTTTTACTAAAATTTTCCGAAAAATACCCGCTTCAAACTTTTACCCGCACGCTGTATAAAATTACCCGCATTTCGGGTAAAATACCCACAATTGGCAGCACTGGTAATGGCGGCCCCTCGCATAAACACTTAACTTACAAGGCGAGGCTGCCAACTAAAAACTGCCGTGTGATTGGCTGGAGTAGCGGTTGAGGTAAGAAAAGATGAAAGATGGTCATGTCTTGCCGCTACGTTCTTGCCTCTACTTCCCTTACTTTTGACAACTATAAATTTTTTCATATAATATTCAATGCCCAACTTGGCTACCTCTACCGTTACCTTTAAAACTATTAATACCGTACGGGAATCTATAAACAGCACTACGGTATTGTTGATCTTTTACGGGAGGAAGGAAGGAAATCTATAAATCTTGCTTTATGCTTAATTAAATTAATTAATCTGGATAGAATTAAGTTAATTTTGTCCAGATACTTGGATTAAAAATTATGTTACAATTATCGAATACGTTACATATAATTTTCAAGCTTTGTTTTTAGAAAAAAATATGTTAATAATTATGTTACAAGTGGCAACACTGATTAGACAAAAATAAAACCAAAACACAGCCCAAAGATTAAATATACTCTTCTCTTTATACCTAAATGATTTAGGCTAAATCCGAAATAATTTAAGGTAATTTAAGTTTTTTTTTTTAAGGTTTATTGGCTTTTAGTCTTTTCGACTATTTAGCCAGCTCATTATTATATATTTTTGTGCTCTTAAAAACACAAGGCTGTGACCGGGAATCGAACCCGGTACCGTGGCGCAGATTGATTACCGGCGGTAACCTTTATAATCTGTAGCTTTAACCCACTGCGCCATCCTCGGCCCCGTAATTTAAGTTAATTACCTCGATAATTTCATCAAATTACTTTGTTGTTTATTATACTTCTGGCAGGTAAACAAAATAAAGATTTGAAATAATAGAAAAAGGATATAAATATATGAAATAATGAAAATGGCTGCTTTGAACATCAACTGTCAAATGGTGCAATGTTGCCAGATCGGTATCCCTAAATAAAGTCGTTTTTTCGCGTAAATACCATGAAATACTATGGTCATTAAACTTAACCTTGGTTAATAGTTAAGGCATTTTTGCGTTTAGAGTGCGTTCAAAAATCCTAACTATGACGTCACAAATACCAGACCATAAAACTATATCGCTGAGCTAGTTATTCAACGTGGTTAATAGTCTTTTTCTTTTTAATATATATATTTAATATGTTTATGTAGGAATAATGTTCTGTGCTAAACATATCTTCCCCAAAACATACCGCCAACCTTCGTCTTTTTCTTTGGGGTTCCATTCTAAATTTTGAGTTTCACAATAATAATTTTCGTATAAACGTTAAACACTGTTGGATTTTAGTTATGGTAAACAACAGGGAAGAACTGTTTATACATATAAAAAGAGGTATAGAAAAGGTAGGTATAAGAACTAGGGTTCATAGAAAAAGAATATACAAGGTATAAGCGAGGCAAAGAAATTTATTTACACCTGTAAAAGCATAGAAATTAAATATAAATAGGTAAAAACACATTTCAAAAATTATAGGTTATGAACAAGTAAACAAATGTCAAATGTTAAAAACCTAACCATGGTTATATGAATTAACTGTGACGTCATGACTTATTTAACCGTAGTATTTCATAGTATTTACGCGAAAAAACGACTTAAATAACATTGTATTTTCTTAGACTTGAAAGTTACAGAAAAATACAACAACTTGAACATACCGGCAACACTTATTAATTCGATTAATGCGCCATCTACACTCCCCTTTAATGAAGCGAGATAAAGAAAGCACTATAGGGAAATAATATTCACATATGTGAAACAGAAAGAAATAGCATGAATAGGATAAATTTCTATGATAAATTTGTAGGCGCACTTGACCGTCTCGTTTGTGTCTGCTTTTACTGTAAAGCCATAGATTAGATAAATACTTTATCTAATCTAATCTAGCTTTACAGTAGTAGTAAACAATATAATCCCGTACGGGAATCTATAAACGGTACTACGGTTTTCGTTTTGTTCATGTTTTACGAGAGGAAGGAAGGAAGACAATCTATAAATCATGCTTTGACTTTGACGTTTTAAAAGAGATTCAAAAGAGACGTTGCCACACATCTTCGGTCTGTCGTGATTCTGTATGAAATGTTTCGGTGTCATAGTCTAGTTGGCTTGGATTTTTCATAAAAAATCGTTTTTTCTTAAATGAAATTTTCATTCACAGTATACATAAACATATATATAATATATGTTTATTATATAATATATGCTTATTAAACATATTTTATTTATTTATAACGATGATTTCATTTATATTGTTATATTGTTGTATAATTGTTTAAAACCGGTTCTTTGGTTTTAAACTTTTACATCCGCCATCTAGTGTCAAGAAGAGATAACTGCGACTGACGTGTAAAGTTTGTAGGTTATTTCAGTTTGCATTTGACGTTTACATTTTATACAATTTACACCTATTGCTCTAAAAATGTCTGAAAGATTCGATTTAGAAATAGTTTACAAGAATTTTGAAAGTGCGAAACATGAAGAAGACGACGTCAATTTGGAACATTATTTATTAAGCTTCGAAGAGTTGAATAAGTAAACAATAAGGTCTTTGTTTTATGATAAAGTAGGTTTATTGTGTATTTCTGCAGGTTTTTTACGTTGATAGGTACCATATTTGGTTTTGTGAGTAAGGATTTAATAGAGAAAATGGAAGTGTTGAGGGTTTTTTTGAAGGATGAAGCAAAATCGGAGAAATTTAAAACTGTTAAAAATATGATTAGTTACGAGTCAGAAAACGAGTTGTTAAAGAAGAAAGGATACACTTCTGGTTGTAGGACTTTGTTACGATTACATAGAGGATTAGGTATGTATTGTTACATCAATAAACACTTTATGAATAAAATGTTTATTTTAGATTTTATTAGATTATTTTTAAAGAAGTTAAGCGATTTAAACAATGAAGATGATACTTGTTATGTTTGTAAGGAGTCTTATTTAGAAACTTTAGCGAATCATCATACTTTTTTGATAAGAAACGGTGCTAAATTGGCTATTTATACACTGCCAAAAAGGGGAGAATTACTCAATAGGGTAAGCAATAAAAATACTTTACAATACTTTATTATTTAAAATATTTAATTTAGGTTTGTGGCTCAGAAGAAGAAATAAATAAAACCCTCGAATTACTACCATCTACTCTTGAAGCAACAACTCAAATTTTTAACAGAATAGACAAATTATACACGGAAAACAACTTGCATTCCTTGCCTTGAATACTTATTTTAATATTTTTATCATTCCTAATTTTATGTACAAAAAATTAATTTTTATTTTTGCACATATTTTGCTGATTATATGGTATTTAAATGAGTTTGATAAGGTTTATATCATGCAAGTTATATGTGATATTAAAAGTATTTTTTGTGTTGTTTTTTTTTATAAGTTTATTTACAATAAATTAAGTAAAACTTTTTATTATTTTAATTATTTGGATGGTTTTTTTCCGAATTTTTGAAATTTGGGCCTGCCCTTTCCTTTTAATTTTTTTGTGTCTATTTCTTCTTTAGGGGCATGTTCTTCGTGTAATATTGAGTATAACGACTTGGCGTCCACGTCGTTTCCTAATATTTCCTTTAATTCTTCCTGAAATATGTTTTTTAGTTTGGTAATGTTTTTCTATGAGTTGTAATCTATGGTTGTTCTACAGTTTTGTATGTCAATGGGAATAGTGAGTTTCCCCTACTGTTATATAGAGGGCACTGTAGTTTTTGTAAAATACCTGCGTTTTTGTAATTAATTCCTCCATACTTTTGACTTTCCTTAGCAAAATATCGATATTTTTGGAAGTAACCCCGGGCATTTTTTGTACAAAATCGTAAATTCCAGAGTTATATTTTGTTTCTATTGTTTCCATATCTGCTTCACCCCCTATAGAGGAAGCATAGGGAATATCTGGCTCTTCTCTACCTTGCTATAAAAAATAAATAAAAAGTCATAAATTATTAATATGATATTAAAAAACCTTTAATTCTTCAAATAACTGTGCTGATGCATAAGGACTGGGGCTCCAAATAATTTTTAACTTTGGAAAATGCATTGTCAAAAGTATTAATTTTTGCTGTATTTGAAAGTTTCCTATGGAATCTGCAGACAACATATAATGATTCTAAAACAACAATTACTTTAAAAATGCAAAAAATTAAAGCAACAAAAATTACCTGCCAAGAAAATGGTTTATTGTGATCAAACTCAATCAGCAACATTGGTTTTGTATAATACCTAAACATTTGAACACATTGCTGATACAATCTACCAGAATTTAAGGATTGTATTAAATCCGACAAGCTTTTTCTTTCCACGCAAATTTCTGAAGTTATAATATAATCCCCAACCTAAAGTGTGTAGGTACATTATATTATAATAATAAATAATTAGTTATAGACTAAAAGTGATTTATATCAAAAACTATTTGTCCTACATGAAAAACGTATACAAACTTTATTGTAGAAAATTAAAAGGATAAAATCCCCATTATTCTCTAAGGCTAGATCTAGATTAATGCAAAAAACTTACAGTAATGGTTAAAGGTTCGATATCGATGCCTCTCTTATGAATTAAGGCGGGCAATTCGCTTCTAAACTCCCGCATATCCACGATAACAATTTGTTTTTTCGGTGCTGACTCCTGGCCCCCTTGCCTGGTGTTTTTCGTGGGCGATTTCAACTCTCTCTGCAATAACTCGCAGATGTCCCGATTTGCCATCTTGATCCTCGGGAACGGACCATTTTCTAAAAAAGAAGTTGGTAGGTTTTTTGACAACTTAAGGTAAAATATTACCGATTTTGTTTCAATTAAATGTTCGAAAGCTTCTTTTTCTCGTCGTAGCGATGTGAGGTAGCTTTGCTCTTCTACAGTTTCATTATGAAGCAAAAAGAAAACTTGTAAGGGAATATCCTGTTGTCTATGAGCTTCATACATCTATAGAAAAATATAAATAAACAAAAAAAAACATGTGCACATGCTTATATACGGGCGTTAGAAATTATACTTCTTTGAGGCATCTAAAAAGTTATTTCGCATGAAAATTATAGGAAAAGTAGGGAAAACGATAAAAGAAAGATTAAATAATACAATTAAAAAGATTTGATAAAAAACATAATTCTTAAGAATTTTGAAAAATTTGTTTATCAATCTTTGGTTAAGTTCCAGTTAGTATCCATGGAGATTATCTGCTAACTGCAACTTTAACTGAACATAAATCGTGGTAATTTTGTAAATTTTTTAAATTTTGAGTTGAAATTTTGGAAATTTTGAAAGTTACCTAAGTTAGTACCTAATTTAGAAAATTTTTAAATATTGAAAACTAGTAAATTTTTTGTAATTTTGGTAATTTTGAAAATTTAGGGAATTCTGTAAATTTTGTTAATTTTTTTTAGTAAATTTATGCCACTGCCAATATGTCCTATTTTTTAAATTCTTATGCAATTTTTAAATTTGGAAATTTTTAATTAATTTGAAAATCTGATAATTTTGTAAATTTTGAACATTTTGTAATAGTTTGAAATTTTGGAATATTTAATTTTTTTAATATCTTGCTACATATTTTGTATTTTTTTTTATTTTGAACATTTTGTAAATTTTGGAAACTTGTAAACTAATTAAATTAACCTCCTATGCGAATTTTTCTTACCATTTTTAAATTAATCTGAAAATTTTAAAATTTTTGAGTTTTGTAAATTTTTCTGTAATTTTGTTAATTTTAAAAATTATGTAAATTTTGTAAATTTTAAAACTTTTGTAACTTTTGGAAAACAATTATTTCACATAAAATTATAGGAAAAGTAGGAAAACGATAAAATGATCTAAGAAAGACTAAATATACAATTAAAAAGGTTTGATAAAAAATCATAATTCTTTGGAATTTTGTTTATTTTAAAAATTTCGAAAATTTTCTAAATCGTGATAATTATGTAAATTTAAAAAAAAATTGTGTTGAACATTTTTTTAAATTTTGAAATCTTGTAAATTTTTTTTAATTTTGTTAATTTTGAAAATTTAGAGAATTCAATTTAATTTTTTTTAAATCTTGGACCTATTTTGTATTTTTTTTATTTTGAACATTTTGTAAATTTTAACTTCTGAAAATTTTGAAAACTCAAATTTTTGTTGTAAATTTATGCCACTGCCAATTTGTCCTAATTTTTTCCACTATTTTTTAAATTTTAAACTCTTATGCTAATTTTGACTACAATGTTTTAATTTGGAAATTTTAAATTATTTGAAAATCTTGATAATTTTGTAAATTTTGTACATTTTGTAAATGTTGAAAATTTTGGAATATTTAATTTTTCTTTTTAAATCTATTTTTTGTAATTTTTAATCTTGATACCTAATTTTGAAAATTCTGTAAATTTTGTAAATTTTAAAACTTTTGGAAACTTGAAAGTTTGTAAATTTATGCCATTGCCAATTTTTCGAACTATTTTTTTAATTGTGATCTTCTATGCGCATTTTGATTTTTATAAATTTTGTTTCAATTAAATGTTCGAAAGCTTCTTTTTCTCGTCGTAGCGATGTGAGGTAGCTTTGCTCTTCTACAGTTTCATTATGAAGCAAAAAGAAAACTTGTAAGGGAATATCCTGTTGTCTATGAGCTTCATACATCTATAGAAAAATATAAATAAACAAAAAAAACATGTGCACATGCTTATATACGGGCGTTAGAAATTATACTTCTTTGAGGCATCTAAAAAGTTATTTCGCATGAAAATTATAGGAAAAGTAGGAAAACGATAAAAGAAAGATTAAATAATACAATTAAAAAGATTTGATAAAAAACATAATTCTTAAGAATTTTGAAAAATTTGTTTATCAATCTTTGGTTAAGTTCCAGTTAGTATCCATGGAGATTATCTGCTAACTGCAACTTTAACTGAACATAAATCGTGGTAATTTTGTAAATTTTTTAAATTTTGAGTTGAAATTTGGAAATTTTGAAAGTTACCTAAGTTAGTACCTAATTTAGAAAATTTTTAAATATTGAAAACTAGTAAATTTTTTGTAATTTTGGTAATTTTGAAAATTTAGGGAATTCTGTAAATTTTGTTAATTTTTTTTAGTAAATTTATGCCACTGCCAATATGTCCTATTTTTTAAATTCTTATGCAATTTTTAAATTTGGAAATTTTTAATTATTTGAAAATCTGATAATTTTGTAAATTTTGAACATTTTGTAATAGTTTGAAATTTTGGAATATTTAATTTTTTTAATATCTTGTACATATTTTGTATTTTTTTTTATTTTGAACATTTTGTAAATTTTGGAAACTTGTAAACTAATTAAATTAACCTCCTATGCGAATTTTTCTTACCATTTTTAAATTAATCTGAAAATTTTAAAATTTTTGAGTTTTGTAAATTTTTCTGTAATTTTGTTAATTTTAAAAATTATGTAAATTTTGTAAATTTTAAAACTTTTGTAACTTTTGGAAAACAATTATTTCACATAAAATTATAGGAAAAGTAGGAAAACGATAAAATGATCTAAGAAAGACTAAATATACAATTAAAAAGGTTTGATAAAAAATCATAATTCTTTGGAATTTTGTTTATTTTAAAAATTTCGAAAATTTTCTAAATCGTGATAATTATGTAAATTTAAAAAAAAATTGTGTTGAACATTTTTTTAAATTTTGAAATCTTGTAAATTTTTTTTAATTTTGTTAATTTTGAAAATTTAGAGAATTCAATTTAATTTTTTTTAAATCTTGGACCTATTTTGTATTTTTTTTATTTTGAACATTTTGTAAATTTTAACTTCTGAAAATTTTGAAAACTCAAATTTTTGTTGTAAATTTATGCCACTGCCAATTTGTCCTAATTTTTTCCACTATTTTTTAAATTTTAAACTCTTATGCTAATTTTGACTACAATGTTTTAATTTGGAAATTTTAAATTATTTGAAAATCTTGATAATTTTGTAAATTTTGTACATTTTGTAAATGTTGAAAATTTTGGAATATTTAATTTTTCTTTTTAAATCTATTTTTTGTAATTTTTAATCTTGATACCTAATTTTGAAAATTCTGTAAATTTTGTAAATTTTAAAACTTTTGGAAACTTGAAAGTTTGTAAATTTATGCCATTGCCAATTTTTCGAACTATTTTTTTAATTGTGATCTTCTATGCGCATTTTGATTTTTATAAATTTTTCTGTAATTTTGTTAATTTTGAAAATTCTGTAAATTTTGTAAATTACCATTTTTAAATTTTTTTTTAATCTTATTTTTTTTTGTAATTTTGTAAATTTTAAAACTTGTAAATTTATGCCTCTGATAATTTTTCCTATTTTTTTTATTTTTAAATTTGTCTAAAAATTTTGTAAATTTTCCTGTAATTTTGTTCATTTTGGTAATTTAAAGGATTTTTTAAATTTTGTCCTAATTTGTCCTACTATTTTTTAATTTTTGTCCTAATGTGAATTTTTTTAAAATTTTGCAAATTGTTTTAAATTTCTTTTTAACATTTTTAGAATTTTGTAAATTTTGAAATTCTTGGAAATAATAATAATATTTATTACCATCAAAAATTAAATAGCATGTCATACAAAAATAATACAGCTAATAAATTGTGTTAATTTTGGAAATGCCAATTAGTCCTACAATTTTTTTAATTTACCCTACATACTATTATTGTCACTGTACTACTGTGCAACATTTTTCCAGTTTTTTTTATTTTAAAACTTTTTATGCCACTGTACAAATTTGTCTTCCCAATTTTTAAATTTATGGTACTGTGCGAATTTTTCCCACTTTTTTTAATTTCAAAGTACTGTGCGAATTTTTCCTACCATTTTTTTAATTTATGCATGGAAGAGCAGTTTTTAACTATTCAAACTTACCAAATAAATGAAGTAACCTCTGCGACTTCATGCTCTCCCGCACAAAAAAGTATAACTTCAAAAAAACAAAATAAACTTCAAAATATTTACCTCCAACTCCCTTACGGCGGTAATATTGGTATTATACATAATAACAAAATTAGGTTTCAGATCTTGCAGTGTTTTTTGCAAACTAATATAATTATCGCCCCCTTTAAAAGTCTGTATGAGTATTGTGGGTTGCGTTTGCGCCACTGACTCGCATATTTGGGTTAGGTTCATGTTTTCCATCTAAAAATATTTTTTTTTAGAAATAATGTTTGTTCCATTAAAAAGGAAAAGATTATTGAAAACAATATTTAAATCGCCATATTTTTAAAAAAGTTATACCGGTTTTAAATATTTTTGTACTTTTCATCATTTGGTAAAACTTTACCTGTGAAAAAGGCTCAAATTGGACCTCGGAATCATTTAAAGACTCATCATTGGATTCCACAAAAGTCTGGGTCATTGTTAATAAATAACTGTTCTGTAAATCATCTTCTTCATCCTCTTTTTTATCAGTTGTTTCATCCAACTTGGCCTTTTTAGATGTGGATGGTTCTTCCTCAATCCTGGGCATATCATAGGATTCATATTTTTTATTAACGCTTTTAAAATTAACTTTTTTTATCAGAGCTCTTCTGAATAGATACTTGTGCGGTCCATTAACCAAAATTTCTTTCAGTTGGTGACAGGTTCTGCTATCTGAGCACAAAATTAGTATTTTGTGTTCCTTGCTTTTGGATTTTTTGATATCATTTGGTATTTCTGTTTTCACCAAGTCTAGCAAACACTTCCACTTGGGGCATATTTCGGCATTAAATTCTTTATCGCCGCAAAATAATAAAGAGTTTACAAAGGAAAAAAGCATTTCTGCAGGTTCCAACCAAACCCATGTGGAAGTTTTAGCATATTCCATTGTACGATAACCAGATAATAGTGAGTAAAATGATACTGAATCAGCATAGAAAAGAGTACTAAAATAACACATTTTATTGTATTTTTAATAGGCCGTTGCTAGTCGTCCGTATATTCGGACGATTAATATATTTTATTCATCCGATGATCGGACGATTAGACAAGTCGAAAGGCCGTTGCTAGTCGTCCGATCATCGGATGAATAAAATATATTAATCGTCCGTATATTCGGACGATTAATATATTTTATTCATCCGATGATCGGACGATTAGACAAGTCGAAAGGCCGTTGCTAGTCGTCCGTATAATCGGACGATTAAAATATATTAATCGTCCGGTAATAACATAAATAAATAATAAAAAGATTATCGGACTCAAACTCAACAACACAACCCAACCGACCCCGCCCCATTGGCCCCCCCCGCCCCATTGAACAAAAAACCCAACTAAAATGGGCAAATTTATGTTACGATAAAAATAAAACACTTTTTAACAAAGCAACAACAAATTTATGAAATAAAAAAAGTTCGACAACTTCTAGTAGATTTTATGTTACGATAAAACTAAAACAAACCAACCAACCCAACCCAACCGAACACTGTTTAACAAAGAAACAACAAATTTATGAAATAAAAAAATAAAAAAAATTCGACAGCTTCTTAGTATCGAACCCGGGACCTCTCGCATGACAAGCGAACGCCCTACCATATAAGCTATCTAGCTTGTTGTCAAATATTAAACGGTCGGTGAACAAAAGCGAATTATAATTATGACGTAACTAACGTTATGTTATTACCGGACGAATAATATATATTAGTCGTCCGTATGTTCGGACGATTAATATATTTTATTCATCCGATGATCGGACGATTAGACAAGTCGTTTTTAATAAGTATATAGTCATAATTACATCATTAAGTGCCTTAATGTTTTTAAATCAGCTATTAGTTGCTGACTTTTGCTGCTGAGTTGATGCCAAACAGCATCCATCTGTAATTGGAATATTTTGTGAAACTTCTTTGTTAAACAATTTTCGACTGATATTTCTTGCAACTCAACAGATTTATTATTTTTCTTCAACTCTTTTACAGTTAAATTCATCAACTCCAGTAAAAACGTCTGTATTTTTCGCATTTTATCTGTAATTGGTATGTGGAACTCTGAAACTTTAGGCTTGAAAGTCGTTTTAGTGGAATTTGGAATATAAAATTATTAGGAAATCTCACCTGATGCTTTTTTAAACTTTCTATTACCAAGGAATGAAACCTGGGCCAAATATACAACTCTTTAACAAATACAGTCCTCATAATTCTTTCTACATGTCCAAACCCAACTGTGAAACTTTGTGCACTATTTGAAAAAGCTTTAATAAAACCAGTCTAAAAATATTTAATTTTAAATTAAAAAATACATATATTAATATTGTTTACTTTATTGTTTTGCCTATATAATCTCAACACAAAAGCCTCCTGACAACTTTCCAGCAACTTGTGAGCCCTCAAAACAATAATTCCTGTAACTTTTTCAATTGGTATGCGTTTTTTCAACATATCCAATACCAAAATTCTTGTGGTTACAAAATGTACACCACCTGATAGGTAATTATCTTCCCTATAGTAACACTGTTAATTTAAATGCATATTAATGAATACCATAAGTTACCTTTCTGTTGTGTGTGAATCATATGTGGTAACATATACATTTTCATTGTTTAATTTTTCAACGAAATATTTTTCCTCATTTTCATTCGCATTCATTACTATAACAAGATTACCTGGATCGCAATACACTTTTAATACATTTAATATCACTAAATCCAAGTTAAGACCCCTAAAAATATATTGAGAATATCAAAAAAATCCTATTTAGTTTCAAAACTAACTTTGCACAAATAACCAAACCATCTTTATGTATAACGTCCAGAAATATTTGTGTTTCGAACTCCAACATATACTCCAGGTTGGTTTTTTCTAATAATTGATCTATTTCATTATCTTCAGCCATTTTTATAACGATTTAAACAATTTTCGCACCAGAGTATTTCAAAAAAGTTTGTGACAATTAAAAGTGAGGTTATTTTTGCTTGCCACGCCATCTAACTGTGAGTAGGAAAAGCTTTAGTTTGGAACCGTTCCACAACCAAATCCACCAAAACAAATTTTAAAAACTAGTTTTTGCGCTTTTTTAATAGTTTTTATCCAGTCTCATTAATTCGATGTGACTTTATGGTGTTTTAGCCACAGGCTGAAGTTAGTAACAGTGGCTTTTGAGCATTTTAGTCGCAGGCAAGTTATCTTTATTATAAATTAGGGGAAAATGAGGTTGATAGCAAAGAACACCTTTGGTTGATAGTTGACAGATGTCAAATGATAAATAAAATTGCACATAAAGTTCATTTTTTATCTGAACTGCGGCAACGTTGCAAATTTAGGGTTTTGATTGGTAAATACAGTTGTCAAGTTGGTCGCATTGATTAAAACAAACTAAGCTAGTTATAAATCTAATTGTGGTTATGTATAAATTATTGTAGGTTACATTGTGCAGTTGTCAAGTTGTGTTGTCGAAATTCGTAGTTAAAAAGTAGTTAAATATAGGTTGCTTTACGGCCCAGAAGAGAAAGTATACCTAGCGGATAATAATCTTCGCTTTGAAAAGAATTTATGTAAAAGAAATTAAAATTTTTTGTGGACGTAAATGTTGTCCAATGGTGAATAATGTGTGATGTAATATTTATAAAACCAAATTCGTTACTTTTTTACTCCAAAAATGTCCATAAGGCGATGTACTTTTTCTTCCATTGTGGCATTTGGCATAATTTCATCAAAATGAAGTTTTGCCCCTAAAAGGGCTTTTACATTCGAATTTGTTGCTATTATTTTTGGCATAATTATCTTTTTATTTATAATTGACAAGTAAATTACCATCAATAATAAATAATATTGTCAATTTGACAGTGTTAAAGTATTTAATTAAATTATTTAGCAGAAGTACCATTTTTAAATACTAAAAATACTAAGTCAAACTGGCATAAGCCACCAACCTAACAAAAAAACTTGAGTCCAGATAAAAAAAATGAACTGTACATAATATTTATCCTATTAGAATACTATTTTCACTTAAAAGGTATTCAGAAATAAAACACAGTAATATTTTTAAATAATTTCATTATTGTAATACTATTAACAGTTAGTATATCAGTATATTATAAATGGTAGACAGTATACAGTGTTTATTAGAAAAGCACCTTAAAAAAAGTACAAAATCTCCCAAAGACTAGGTGCCCTTGTATAGTATAGTATGTAAAAAAAAGATTTCCAAAATCGTGGTCTACAACGCCGGGATTTTGGTTTTGCGCCAAGATACTTTTTAATAAAAAATTGCACACGAATCTAAACTGAAAAAGTTGTTCTTGCTTAGATATAAATTTTTGTATAAATATACTTTGATTTTTTTTTACTTTTTCTTAATATTATGTAAATATACTTGCCTACATATAGTTAAAACACTAAAATTTACTACAATTTTTTTAATGTAACATTATAGAAATATTAGTATAAAACATACAAAAAATGTATGACAATGGCATTGTAGAGATCTTGTATAATAAGATTATATAAAAATCAATATTACTAAATAAGTATTACTATATTACAAAAAGCAAACACTCGATAATTCACTATATAATTTCAACAAGTTTTCATTAACGAAACATAATATCACAACACTGTTGAAATCACCAAAAGTTTACTCCAAGTGTTTGACATTAGTACTTAATATTTTATTTTAATTAAGAAGAACATTTACAAACTACTCATAAGTGTACAAAAAATCAAGTCTGTCAAATAAAACCAAACTGTCAAACGTCACAGACGCCCTCTCGTGTGTGGTTTGTGAAAGACAAAAGAAAAATAAATAACTGATGTTAATGATTTAACCCTGTATTTAAAGTTTTTATATAAAAATCGTAAACTAATTTGTCGGGTAGAAATCGTTATAAAATTTATAAAAACCGAATACTATTACTAAAATTTTAATAACTATAAGCACCATAAGTGTTTGACATTTTATTTATAATATAATTTATTAACTATTTACATTACATTTAATGCTCTGCGCATATTATTTAGTCCTTAGTCGCGTAATACAAAAATGGCACATAATTTTTTTAGTTAATCACAAACGGCAACCTATACAGGGCGTTTTTTCAATCGCAAGTGTCAAAATAAAAACACCCCATACATCGAGTTAAAAAAGCAGATTTTCGTCGAGATAATATAAAAAATAAAAACAATTTCGGGATTAAATAAAATTAATCAAAAAAGTAACAAAATAAAATTTCAATATGTACAGCGCCCGAATAAAAAAACCCTTTCAGTCGATGAAATTCTGCTTTTTTGTATGCAACTGGTATAATTAATAATATGTTGAATAGTAGATAAAAACTTAATAGTCGTAGCATATAAAAAATGATTTTAGGTTATTTTGACAGTTCAGTCAAAATTACAAAAAAATCAAGCCACCTCAGACAGCAGAAACAATCAGAAAAATGATTTTATGGTCTTAAATCTTGTCAATCAAAAAATGATTTTAGGTTATTTTGACAGTTCTGTCAAAATTTCAAGAAAATCAAGCCACTTTAGACAGCAGAACCAATTAGAAAAATGATTTAATGGTCTTAAAAAATGACAAGATTATGGTTATTTTGACAGTTCTGTCAAAATTACAAGAAAATCAAGCCACTTTACAGTCTTAAATGACAAGATTTTAGGTGATTTTGACAGTGCTGTCAAAATAACAAAAAAGTCCCTAAATTTTCAAAATATAAAATTTTCAGAATTTTAAAAATTACAAAATTTACAATATTTTAAAAATTGACTACAAATTTTTTGAAATTTCCACAACTTTGAAAACGTAAAACTTTAAAATTATAAAAAATTTTGAAATTACCAAATCGGTTGACAAAAATGTCCAATATTTTGAAATTTACAAATTGTCCAAAATTTTTAAAATTTCCAAAAAATTTTATTATTAAAAATTTAAGATTCAAATTTTTTAAAAAATAACAAAATCGTACAAAATTTTTGAAATGTCCACAATTTGTAGGTTGGAAAATAATGTAAATTTTTATAATTCACAAAATTTACCAAATTTGTAAAATTTAAAAAAAATAAAATTCAAAATTTTCAAATTTTAATAATAACAAAAATTTTGACAGTGCTGTCAAAATTACAACTAAATTAAACCAATTTAGACACAGCAGTACCAATAAGAAAACTGATTTTACTGCCTTTAATGACAATATTTTAAGTTATTTTGACAAAATCAAGCCAAGCTGAATTATAAAACTGGTTTTACTGTCTAATGACAAGATTTTAGGTTATTTTGACAGTGCTTTTATTACAATTACAACAAAATCAAGCCACCTCAGACTCAATCAGAAAAATGATTTTAAGGTCTTAAATGACAAGATTTTAGGTGATTTTGACAGTGCTGTCAAAATAACAACAAATTCCCTAAATTTTCAAATTATACAATTTTCAGTTTTAAAATTTTTAAAAATTACAAAATCGTGGGCGAAAATTTACACTATTCTGAAAATTTCTAAACTAGAAATTTTTCGAAATTTCCACAACTTGCAAAATTATGTATATTTTCATAATTTCCAAAATTTGAAAAATTTTTAAAACGTAAAATTCTAAAATTTTTAAAAAATTTAAATTACCAAATCGGTTGACAAAAATTTTCAATATTTTGAAAATTGACTAATTATCCAAAATTTTCAAAATTTTTAAAATTTCCAAAAAATTTTATTAAAAAAAATTTCAGAATTTAACTTTTAAAAATTATAAAATAATGTAAATTTTCATAATTTCCAAAATTCACCAAATTTGAAAAATTTTAAAATTTTGAAATTTTGTTTGTCTTAAATGACAAAATTATTTTGACAAAATCTGGCCAAGCTAAATCACAAAACTGATTTTACTGTCTTGATGCCAAGATTTTAGGTTATTTTGACAGCGCTGTCAAAATTCCAACAAAATCAAGCCACCTTCGGATGCAGCGGAACCAATCAGAAAAAAAACCGACATTTTAGCTAATATTCAACATACCCAAGGTTATCAATGTTTGGGCGTGCTCAGAAACGTCGTCACGCTTCTTTTGGGGGGCGGGGGCGGGGGTCGCTTCGTCTTGCAATCGCTCTTCCCCGAGTGCACGGGGCTGGTCGCGTACTCCACCACCTCCACGACGGGGGAATCCCTGTAAACGTTCTCGTAGAGATTGTTGGGGCCGTAATGCTCCTGCACCCAGTTCGAAACGTTGTGCTCCTTGTAGTCTGGGAGGAGAACCGGGGGGTCCCTGAACCCGAGCACCTCGTGGGGGGTCACTTCCGGCTCCAACTTGCACTTCTGCGCCACCTGCCATTTCTTGCGCATCACGCGTTGCAGGTCTTTCAGGAAATCAGTCGGAGGTTCCACGAGTTTTTTCGGTGAGGAGAGTTTAGTGCTTTCTGAACGTTTCGGTGGGGGGGGGTTTTTTCGGCAGTGGCGGTACTTCTTGAGGGGTTAAATTGAACGAGATTTTTTTGCCGTTTTTCTTGGGGCTGTTGTTCTGGGTGTAGCCGTACATGGAGTTACCTGAACCTGAACTATTTGTTGAAGATATACTGTTGCACGAAATCTGCCTCGGCAGTGAAGTTTGTCTTAGCGACGAACGCAAACCGTTGTTGTTGTTCAAGATTTGCCCGGTAGGTAGCGTGTTGCTCTGCCTGTACTGCGGGGGGTTCACATAAGGCGGTAAATCCTGCACCTCGCTTATTCTGTCGTGGTTCTGCGCACTGGAGCCGTAAATCTGGTTTTTCTGCGCGTAACTCACTCTATGCGTCGGGCTGAAGGTCGCGGGAGGGTTAGCTTGCGTGGGGGTGCTGCAGTTGGAGGTGGGGGGACTCACGCAGGGGGTGTTCAACCGCGAATGCGTCGGCGTCTCCTCTCCCGTGGGGGAGTCGCTCCCCTTCCGCCTGCGCATCGTGCCCGTCTCCTCGGGGGGAGGGGGGAGGGACATGAGCGACAGCTGGCTGCCCGTCAGGTCGGAGCCGGCCATGGGCGGCAGGTCGTTGAGGTTCGGGGGCGGGGGGAGGCTGTCCAACGAGAGGTTGCTGTTGTAGAGTTCGGGCGGGGGCGGGGGGAGTTGGTAGCTGGGGGAGTCTTGGAGGATTTCGCCGTTCGTTTCCGGCGGCGGCGGCAGTGAATTTATGGAATCAGTCTGTAAGGAAGATTTATAAAAATAAGTTTACGAGTATAACTAAGGGGTTACATGGGTTTTGAAGAACAAAAAAAGCATTTATTTTATTTTATTATAACACAGAAAGACAAAATTTGATTTTTTTCCTTCCCATGAAAAATTTCTAAATATTTTGAAAATAGACTGATGCACATTTTCTAAATATATCAAGTGGTGTTTTTTAGGTTATGATATCACTATAGATTCTAAAAAAACATTTAAAATAAAAATTATATATTTTTTTTTTGACTAATTTTCGTATTATGTGAAATCGTACAATATTTGAAAGAAAAACGATGATTTATAACAATATAGAGAATTTCTTTTTTCAAAATTTGTTAAAATATTTTTCATGGGAGTAAAATTGTGTTGAACTGTGTTATAATAAGAAAATTATGATATTCTTTCTTATTCTTTCAAGTTTTTTTATTTAGTTGTTAAAAAAATATCCTCGTGTAGGAATACAACGAGCCTAATGAGGCTCTTTCTCCTTTTTCTCCAATTGACTTAAACATATTTTTCACTTCTTAAATAATTGGATAAAAAAATAAAAAATGATTTATTTGCAATTTCAAAACCCTTTAAGGTTTAACCCTTTTGTCCTCAGTGGTTTTATATGAAACCACCTTTTAACAAATTATTGCATTGCGTCCCAACAGTTTCGGAGTCTAACCAAAGATAATAATAATGTATTATCTTTGAGTTTAACCACCCAAATAATTATAGCTTGTGGTGCCATCTATCCGCCATGCTCTTAGAGCACTAAACCTGTCAGATTTTAGCGAAATTTGCCGTAAATAGTTTATATTTGAAATAATGACTAGGGTTTTGAAATTTAAAATATCCGGAAAAATTAAACCGGCGAAAAAAACGCTTTTTTCCGGTAAAATTGGGAAATTTTTAGAAATATTGACTTTTGCTTTTTTAATTTTATTCAAATGGTAATAGAAAAACTGCAAAAATCAACTTTTTTGAAAATTTTTAAATTTTTACGATGAGTTTTCTTAGATCAATTTAATTTAATGTTTAGTTTTTTTTAATTAAAATAATGTTCTAATTGCCACTTTTTTCAAATGTGTATATTTCCCCAAAAAAAAATCAATTTTTCCCAAAAAAAACAGTTTTTTTCCAATTCAGTTTTTTTTCGACACTTTAAAACCCTAGTAAGTACATGTTTGACTTTTTATTGATTGTATAAGATTTTTTTAAATAAAATGTCACTTAAAGTAACAATTTCAACCACAGCTTTTCTTTTTTGATAAAATTAATTAAAAAATTATTTTTTAAGATTAATTTAAATTCAATTTGTACCATTTATTTATATAAATAAAAAACAAAACAATATAATTTGGTTAAGTGGTTCTTTTAAGTAACCACCTATTTTTTTCTGTTAAAAATTAAAAAAATCTATATAGTTGGTCAACCATTTACAGAAATAATATTTAATTTACTTTTGAACGCAATAATTTGGGGACAAAGGAGTTAAAGCTGATTTTCTTATACCTAATAAAAAGCGTTAAGGACAAAAAATAAGCGTAAATACTAAATAATACAAAATACCAGCATGCATTAATTATGGTTTGAATATTGTCTTTCCAAAATTGTCCTCATTTTTAACATTCTATCTTTAACGCTAAGATTTTCTGAAGGTACCTTAAAATAATGTTAGTTTGTTAGAAAAAAAAATTAAGCAGTTGTTAGTTTAAGTATTAGTGGCGGTTTTAGGATATAAAACTTTTTTACCAAACTTATAAAATCGCCACTAAAAACATAAAAGCACGTTTTTGTTTCATAAAAGTAGCACTCACCATACAAGAGGGCATATCCAAACCGGCGTTCTGCGCGCCGGGGCTGCGCAGCGAGCCAGCGCTGGGCGGTCTTTCCCCGAACGGCGACGCCCTCTCTCTCACCGGCGTGCCGCACAGAGGGGTCGAACTCCCGCTCCTCCCCCCCATCGACTCCGCCGAGCCGCGCATCTTGTACGAGTGCTGCCTCTTCAGCGTGCCGCCGGCCGGCGAGTCGTCGCCGTTGCCGGACTTCCTGCGGCCGTGCCGGCGCGTCAGCGTGCCGCTGCCCGTGTACGAGGTGCTCTCGTCCCTCGTCTCGCCCACCTAGGGTTGGGAAAATGTCACTTTTTGCTTGTACTTGAAATTTTCACGACTTTTATGAAATTTATTAAAATTTCATAAATGTCTGAAATTTCATGAAGTTTATGAAATTTATTGAAACTTTCAATAAATTTCAATCACTTTAAGTGTAATATATTAATATTGAAATAAGCCCACTCTGGGACCATGGCAAATTGCCTCTCTTACCTCCTACCCTGCACCAATAATATAAATAGTAAATACCTATGTTTACCACAAATTTCTTGAGATTTCCTTTTAAAATATTTTTAAAATTACTAAAACTAAGAGAGATATTGCACTTTTTGGTAACCTAATGAGATTGTGCCACTCTCATTGTTTTATATTTATATATATTTATTATTTTTATATATTTTACTGAAATTTTACAAAAATTGAAGAAACTTCATCAAAATTTTATGAGCCAAAGGCATTTTTTATCCGTTTTCCGATGCAATTATAGCAAAAGTAAAAGTTTAAATTAATCATGACTTTTAAAAAAATTTTAAAGTCTGATTTAATTTACAAATTAAATTGGTAACTGAATTAAATTATTTAAATTAATTTATGCATATAAGTAACAATAATTACATATAGTGTATTCAAATCCAAGCTGAACTAAACAAAATCGCCCAGACGCTTGATAACTCGTTCTTATTGGTCGATTCGGAATCTGTTGTAAATTATTATTAAAGGTCCCAGGGGAGGCCGCATGTAAAATTTATGCGAAATTTTCAGTAAATTGCGAATCTTTCAATGAAACTTCTGAAAGTTACACAGGCAATGTTGAAATTTTCGAATTGAAAATTTCATTTGAAACTTTTAAAAATTTCACTTTTCCAACTAAATGAAATATTTCAAGTTTGAAACTTTCAAAGTTGAAATTTTCATCTGAAAATTTCAACTGTCCCGCGTCTCACCTCCTTCAGCTGCCTCGTGATGTTGGTCAGCGGCAGGCTGGGCTTCATGGACGGCTTCCGCTTGATGGTGCCCATGGGGAACTCGGAGTCAAAGGCGTTCTCGCAGCTGGACGGCGCGCCGTCCGACATGCAGCCAGAAGAGCTGGAGCTGCTCGCGCGGCTGTGGCGGCCCGAGGAGACCTCGCTGGGCGCCGAGTAGGTAGACTCGCTTTGCGTTCCGTAGCCCGCTTCGCTGCTTTGGTAGCTGAAAGGGACGGTTAAAATGTCAGAAACGTTGAGGTTTTCTATAAAGTTGGATGTCAATAGTGGTTCTACAGTTTTGTATGTCACTGGGATAAAGCACAGCTTTAGGGAAAATTCACTGGTCTTTGAAAGTTATACTTTCTTTTGGTGCGTTGCAAGTAAAATTTTAGCAAACTGTCCAAAAAAATTTAAAAAAAACTTAAAATTTCCAAAATTGGGAAGTTGACGAAAATTTCCAATACTGTCCAAAATAATTTTGGCAAAATTATATAAAATTTCAAAAAAATAAAAAAAAATTTCAATTTTTTGAAAATGTCCACTGTCCAAAGTTACAAAATTTTCAGAATTTAAAATTTTTTTGACAAAAGCAACAAATCAAAATTTTAATATACGACTTTGATTCGATGAAATTAGGCTTTTTTGTATGCAACTGATATAATAGCAAATAAAAAATTACTAAAAATGATTTTAGGTTATTTTGACAGTTCTGTCAAAATTACAACAAAACAGCAGAACCAATCAGATAACTGATTTTACAGTCTTAAATGACAAGATTTTAGGTGATTTTGACAGTGCTGTCAAAATTGCAACACAATCAATTCACCTTGGAAACAGCACAACCAACCAGAAAATTGATTCAAATTGATCTCAAATTTTGACAGTTCTGTCAAAATTACATCAAATTCCCTAAATTTTCAAATTATAAAATTTTGAGAAATGTTCTAGTTTTAAAATTTCAAAAAATTGCAAAATTGTTGACGAAAATTTACAATATTTAGAAAATTTACACAATTTGCAAAATTATATAAATTTTCATAAATTCCAAAATTTACCAAATTTGCAAAATTTTAAAATTGATTGACAAAAATTTCCAATATTTTAAAAATGTTCGATTTTAAAATTACAAAATCGTTAACGAAAATTTACAATATTTTGAAAATATCTAAATTGTACAATTTTTTTGAAATTTCCACAATATGCAGTGCATTTTACAAATTTGGTAAATTTTGCACATTAAAATTTTGAAAACTTAAAATTCAAAATTTTCAAATTATAACAATTTTTTAAATTTTAAATTACTAAATCGGTTGACAAAAATTTCCAATATTTAAAAAAATTAACAAATTGTCCAAAATTTGCAAATTTTCAAAATTTTACAATGTTCGATTTTCAAAATTTTTAAAAATTACAAAATCGTTGACGAAAATTTACAATAATTTAAAAGTTTTTAAACTGTGCAATTTTTTTGAAATTTCCCAATATGCAGGTTGCAAAATGATGTAAAGTTTCATAATTTGCAAAATTTACCAATTTATAATATTTTGAAAACTTAAAATTCAAAATTTTCAAAGTAAGTATAAAATATTTTGAAAATTATAAATTATGTACTTGCAAATTTTCAGAATTTTACAAATTTTCGATTTTCATTCAAATTTACAAAATTTTGAAAATTTCTAAACTGCGTAAATTTTTTTAAATTTCCAATATTTAAGAAAAAAAAAACAATAGAATTTTACAAATGTTTGATTTTCAAATTTTTTAAAAATTACAAAATCGTTGACGAAAGATAACAATAATTTAAAAAATTTTAAACTGCAAATTTTTTGAAATTTCCTCAATATGCACGTTGCAAAATTATGTAAATTTTCATAATTTGCAAAATTTACCAAATTTGTAAAATGTACAATATTTTGAAAAATTAAAAATTGTCCAAAATTTTCAAATTTTGTAATTACAAAAAATTTCTTAATTTCAAAATTTTGAATTTTAAGTTTTCAGTACAATAAACGCGAGAAAAACTAAAAAACTCTCAATCAAAAAAAAGTTGGCAACGCTGATAAATCATTTCCTTGCACTTACCCTGTAGTAGGCGTGGTGACGTTACTCTGCTGCGCAATCGAGCTGACCGAGCAGCTCCGCGCGTGCGCCAACAGCTCCAAATCGTCCTGCGCCATCTCTTCGATCAGCGCGCGATAATTCTCCATCAGCTGCTTCCCGAACTTGACCAATCGCATGCCGACGATCCAGCGCTCCAAGGTCGCCTGATCTTCCGCGCACAGATACTTGATGTACTTCGTCGACTTCGGTTCCTGCAACCGCGGGTGCTTTATGGCGAAAGAGAAGTCCGTCGGAGACTTGTATTTCTTCTTCCAGCCTACTCCGTGATACACGTGGTTGTTCTCGAAGGTCGCCAAACAAACCAAATCCTTAGCGGACTTTATCTTCTCTTTCGGGTAGTAATACAAACCTGACGCTCTCAACACGAAATGATATTTCTTCCAGATTTTTTTCGAGTCCACTTTTAAATACAACGGCCCTTCCAGCTCTGGCAAGCTGTTTGTGGAAAAATAGTCGTCCAAAAGTAAATTTCTGGAGTGCTCATCATACTCCGTGTTATCTTTGTCTCGTATGGAGAGCAGGTATTTTTCTGGTTGTAAAAATAGGTTTATTTTATCCGGTCTTTCCACAAAGTAGATTTTGTTTTTTGATTCTCTTGTCCATAAGAGCAAGTTGTCGACTAGAAGTTCGTGGTCTTCATAATATCTTTCTAAAAATTTACAAAAATTAAATTATTTACGTTACTTACTTAAAATTAAGAATATTTGAATTTATATAAAAACATGCAAAAAAGTATAGTAATTGGACATTTGATATAGTAATTGGACACATGGACCATAGTTATTGGACATACAATTTTTATATAAACATACATCAAATAACATAAATTGTTAAATATTTTTTAAAGATAAATTGCTGTTTTAGGTAATTTTTTTTATTTCGTTTTTGTAAATATCATATTATAAATATATTTCTTTCTCGGATTCCTCATCCCTTTTCTGGATTCTGAAGGTAACTACTAATTCCTTGGTCTGACTTCTGAAATAGTTTGTTGCAAATATCATTAAGTGTGGTATCTTTAGTATGTGAAGCATTTATAATGTTTAGGCCGGACCAGGATGTTTTATTTATATCTAATATTTTTTCGGGTGGTATGTTAAAAGTATTTTCCTAATTTATTAATTTTGTTGCCATTAGTTCTCTATCATGCACTTTAGTATTTAAATCACAGTTATTCTGAAAGACGTCCTGTGACGAAGAAATCACTATCTAAAAATGAATTAGTCAAAAATGTCATAACACTAATAATTCTCGTCAACAGTAATTTGTCAATTCCTATGAAATATTATTCGCTGAATCCGAAAATGTCGTCAAGTTATAAAAGTAGAACAGTTTTTGAATTATAATCAATTTTGCATATAATATGGAATTGACTATATCTCAAAAACTGCTCAACTTTTATGGTTTTTGACGGTCTTTTCGGATTCAGGGGACAATTTTACTTAAGAATTGGCTGGTAAATGTCCGGGATACAAATAGAGTATGATATTGGACACATGTCCAATAATGGAAATTTACATTTTTTCCAACCAGTAATTGGAAACTGGCCATTTTACTGTTTGTTTTCAGAATTAAAATTAAAACGCATTAAAATGACAATGTTTAAACCCTGAGGAACACATTTATACCATTGTAATTTAAACACAGCCCTGCTCTTAACAAAAAAACAAAAATTTTACCACCAAAGTAACGTGCGAACTTTTTTATCCTATATTGGACCCAAAATAAAGTAGTTCTATTTTATAACCGACTGAGATATTTATAATTGTATACAGCGTCATCTAATGATTTGACTATAAGGTAACTATATATATTTATAGAACGCTTGTTTTTACAGTATTAATGTTAATTGTCCAATAACTATAAAGTGTCTACTTTACCCCATTACTTACCCATATAAAGATCGGGCAAATGCTCAACAATTGCCCACTTGGGATCCATCTGGACATGATTTTTATCAGCCAGAAGCCTCGTAACATACGAACAAAGCATCTTTTCGTCCACCAGCAGTGACTTTGCAGAGCCATCTGTCGTGAAAACCTTCAAGAACAACTTCTGTATGTTGGCCTCCTTGATTTTCTCCATCGCCATGCGAATTTTTTCAGCCTTGATTCTCGAAGCTTCATCCTGCAAAAAATTCAATTCAATGTTTTTCACGCAATTTTCGCGTTTCTCAGCTATAGTAAGTTTAAAAGTAAACTACGTACACGTCATCAATCAGCTGATCGGGCACGGTTGTCAATGTAATGCTAAAATCCTTGCATCAAGGGAAAGTGGTAGTGCAACTACAGGGCGATAGATGGCGTTTACATGAATAATACCAAAATGTCAAAAGTCCGAGTTTTTATAACCTATATGATGCACCGCCAAAAGTATGTTTTAGCCATTTTTAAAGACATTTTCTGATATAAAACCCAAAAATTTTGCCATCCAAAGTCAGTCTCTGGTATATATATTATTATTTTATGTATCCAACATATATTTTGTTAAATATTCTAATATATAATTAATAATAATCCTATTTACCTCTCTAACAGCTGTTAAAGGTAACAAAGGTCCATTATTATCCCGTTCTGCCTCAAAATAGCGTATTATGGATGACACCAACTCTTGACTCCGACTATTTAAATGCTTCGGCATTTTAAATATGGGAAACACAAAAAAACGATATATAACAAACACAAAAACGGCAATGAAAACTTTAACGATATAAAATAACACAAACAACAAACAAAATATACGAAATAATACACGAATTAAACGAAATATTCAAAAACACAACTGACAGCTTCGAAATTCTAAAACGTCAAATTCTTTTTTATGTGTCATTTAAATATGAAATATTTGAATGTAAATATGACAACATCTTAATTGTTGCCAACTGAAGATGTTTAAAATGCATTCAAATATTCAATTACAGACTTCGATTTAGTCATTTAGTGTTGGTACCAATGCGTAAAATTTTTGTTTTATTGATGACGTGTACGTAGTTTACTTTTAAATTTACTATAAGTACCTGCTGGATGTTTTGTAGGTGGAGTGTTTGGGGTTTGGTGCTGCTTCCGCCGGAACTGGCCGAAGACTCGCTCGACAGCATGGATACGGTGTCGCTGAAGGCCGAGTCGTTGTCGGGCGATTCCGTGCGGACGGAGTCCGACTTTACCGACATGATGTCGGTGGGTTCGGAGGTTAGGTTCAGTCGGGATACTTCGGATGGTGTTCGGCTGTGAGTTCGCGATATGTGCTGCGACATTTTTTGTGCGTCTGAAGGAAAGAAAGTAAGTTTTATACATTTTTTTAAATACATATTTTTATGATTTTCATTTTTTATAGGATTTTTATAATTATTTAATATTATTACTATAAGTTTATTCGATTTTTGTTGGTATTTTTAAAAATTGACAATTTTACAATTTTTCATTTATTAAAAGAAGACTTTTCCATTTTCTTTCGTGTTTCAAAATTAATTTATGAAAATGCTTTTGATTTGGACAATTTTTAATTTTTTTAAATTCCACCAAAGGTATTATTTTTAGATAGGTGCTACTTAGTTAATATTTATTTTATAATATAATATGATCTAATATGTATAATATTTTATTTTTCAAAAATGTTGAAAATTTATTATATTTTTGGTATCAAGAAATTTGTGTTTTAGTATTCTTTGCATTTTAATTCACGTTATTGTTTTGTTTTTTCTACTTTTAATTTTTACACAGTTGTTTTTGTTTATTATTTTTTAAATTTTTTTAATGAAATTAAATTTTTTTCATTATTTCTAAAATACTTTACATTTTACAAAATCGGTTATTGACAATGTTGACAAAATTTGAATCACCACAATTTGTATGTTGCAAAATTATATATAATTTCAAAATTTCCAATATTTACTAAATTTTCATAATTTCCAAATTAAAAATTGGAAATGGACTAAAATTTACAAAATATTACAAAATTTTCATTATTTCCAAAATACTTTAAATTTAAAAAAGTTGACAAAATTTCTGTCGATAATTTTTGAAATCACCACAATTTGTACTTTGCAAAATTATATAAAATTTCAAAATTTCCAATATTTACTAAATTTTCATAATTTCTTAATTTTACAAATTTAAAAAATCACAAAATCGCAGTCACAATTTTCAAATTACAAAAATATTCCAGTTTCAAAATTAAAAAAAAAAACTCCAAATTAAAAATATCGATAATATAATTTTTAAAAAATTGTTAATTTTCCAAATTACAAAATCTGAAGTTGACAAAATTTCCAATATTTGAAAAATTTCCAAACCGTCATCACCACAATTTGTACGTTGAAAATTAATATAAAATTTCCAATATTTACCAAACTTTTTGAGTTTTGAATTTTTGAATTATAAAAATTTTCCGGTTTCAATTTTTTTTTAATCCAAATTGAAAATTACAATGTTTTGAAAATTTTCACTGTACAAATTTTATGAAATGTGCACAATTTGCAAAATTAAAATGTAAATTTTCAATTACAAAATCGATTGACAAAAACTTCGAATATTTTGAAAATTTACAACTTCTTGGTTTAAACCAATAAATAATTATTTAAAGTTTGAACTTTTTTTTGAAATTTATAATTTTTATTTAATCATTTAATATTTTGATTCAATTTTTTTAGTATTTTTTGCATTTTCACAGTATTTCTCTAGATTTTTGATCCAGTTTTTCACAGTATTTTTTTTAGTTTTTTAATTAAAAATCATACTAAATGTTTTATTATTTTTACTGATTTTTAATAAAAAATAAATGTATTTAACAAATTTGTACTTTTTTGTTTAAATTTAAGTTTTAACTAACAGATTTTCCAATTTCTTATTTAAAAATACATATTTTAGAATTTCCACCTTTTATACTGTTTTCTAAAATTTTGTGATTTTATAAAATCATTATAAAATGATTTAAATCCTAAAAATTACAACAAATTTAATGTTTTTTATTAATATTTATTTTATTTAGGTAAAATATATTTTTTAAATTTACCACTTTTTAAATTCTGCCTTTTTTGCTTAATTTCGATTTTTTTTTAAATTTAATATTATTTTTTTGATATTTTTTTATTTTAGGACTTGTAATAATATTGTAATTTTCTACAATTTTTATCGTTTTTTTTTTCACAAAAAATATAGGTAAGTAGGTACCTACCTGATAATCTTTTGCTGTCTCTAGCCTGTCCAATTTCTCTCTCGCAAACCGATTCAAGGGCACAGAGTTCCCCAAGGATCGCATCCAGGTCCACATCCTGCGAATCTTCCAAATTTGCCATGGAAAACCTATAGCTATCTATTCTTGGTGCCGTTATTTCTGAATTCAACGGTCTCAGATGCGCAGTGGTGTTCAAGGGGTCCAAACCCTGCAAAAAAGAACGAACATATTGAATGAAAGTATCGAAAAACAATCAAATTATTACGATCTATAAACTGTGTTGCTAAGTTACGCAAATAGGCAATAAACAACAGTTTTATTTGACAGACAAAATATTATGGGACAATATTTCCGCAAAAACAAACGACATTGCGTGTTAATGCTCGATTCTTTTTAAATCGACCTATTTTTCAACCCTTAACCTACTTTAGAAGTCGTAACATTATCTCAGAAAGGCGTAAAAAATACTAAAGAACGGAAAAGCCAAAAGAAAACCCGATTACTACGTTTTCAGGGTAAATTTCAGTCCAAAGCAGCAAAAATGAAATTATTAAAGAAATACTTCACAAATATTAGAAAACACAAGGAAACTTCAATGTAATATTTTTTTATAATTAATCAAGTTGGCGCGTTACTTATGCAACCCATTTAACAACAGAGCAAGTGTTGCCACCATAGATAACAAAGCCTTTAAATTGTTTAGCTGTCATTCTTGATTTTTTATTGTATTGAGATTTTATCACATATGTGGATTCAGGGGGGTATAAGGGGAATTTGACAACAGGCAACAGTAAAATAAATCTAGCGTGCGTTGAAACCCAAGTTGTTTTTGACAGACCCCAGTTATTAACCACGTGATTCTTACTTTGTTGTGATTGGTCTTTTCCAACTTGTTCGTTGATGTTCGGACCGAACAGTTCGGTTTGAGAAATTACAAATGGCCGACAGCGTTGTTGAAGTGGTGTGTACGAAGTTTTATAATCCAAATTTTCTTTGTTTTAGGTAAGTAAACTTGTTAATTTCGGCTTTAACATTTTATTAGGTGTTTTTAGTCAAGTTTGAGTTAGTTGTAGCATCATTACCGCGTTTAAAATAAGAAAATACGTGTGAATAACCGTATCGGTTTTTTTAACATTTTATTAGGTGTTTTTAGTCAAGTTTGAGTTAGTTGTAGCATCATTACCGCGTTTAAAATAAGAAAATACGTGTGAATAACCGTATCGGTTTTTTTCTCTATGTTTACCGAAAACATGTATGTAGTTAAGATAAAACAAATAAAATTCTTTTTATGTAATGGAACCTATGGCAAAGAGTAAAGACTCTTACTCTTTGCTTATGGGTTGTTTAACTAATGCAAGTTTTGATAGAATTTAAATAGTTTTAAAGCGTTTTGATTCAAAACTTACAATCAAAACAGTTTTTAACGTTTTTTTTCTCGACACTATAGTTGCTGTTATACAAAATGTTAAATATACCTATAATCTTTGTCAAAATGTATGTATTTGTAAAAATTATTTGATGTAGCTACGCGAAAACTGGACCTGGGTCCAGGGCCCCACTACATTGGCATTTGGTGGAGCGGAGGTTATTGAACGAACAGCCCCCTCATCGGTGGATCGGACGTAAAGGGCCCAACAATTTGGCACTTCATGTATGGTCAACACATTCAACCGATCTCACAGTGTGCGACTTCTTTCTCAGGGGCTTTATAAAAGATAACGTTTATGAGCCCCAAGATTTGTACAAGCTGAATACACGAATTGGAACTGCCGAGTATCTACAAGATGTTTGCAGCTGGAAGAGGTCATATTAAACACTTGTAAGCATACAGTTCAAAACTTGATTATATTACAAATGTTTTGTGCTTTCCATGTTTTTTTTACATAAATATAGCATTTTAAACTACAGGGTGATAATCTTTTACAGTATTTTTATAGTTATTTTATTTGAAGGGGTCAATGCAAGAAGTGTTGTAAGTCACATTTTCAATTAAATTGTTATTCTGGCTTCATCTAAGAGTTTTCACATAAGTTGAAAATCAGGCAAACTCCCATTGAAGTAAATGCAAACTAAAGCACTTGGGCACATATTTCTGCCATTTTAAAAATACCACCTGAAACCTTATGTGAAACACTCTTAGATGAAGCCACAATGTAAATTTAATTGAAAATGTGACTTAGGCACTTAAGTGCAAGAATTCTTGCATTGACCCCTTCATTTGTTCTATCTGAAAGTCTGACATTTTTAATGTACATAAATAACTAGACAATTCATAAGCAAACCTTTTAAAGAATTATTTTTAAAGTTTTTAATTCAATTATTTTTTGCCACAATATAAATTGATTTTAATTTAATATAATTAATTTTAGCTTCTGCGATAATGGAACAATTAGACAAGATTTATCCTGCATGAAGAAAAAGAATGAAAGCTTTACTCGTCAATCCCAAACAGAAATATTTGACCAAATTTTTTTAATAATAGGTAGATACATTTTTTTTTATTTAGAATACATTTTTAGTTACAATTGGTGGTGTGTGAATATTTTTACCAAATAAATTATGTAGTAATATTTAATTCAAACTTAGAATTAAATATTTAAACTACATAAATACTTTGAATTATTTGAATAGTTAAATAATTACAATCATAATCTATTCAAATAAGTTAATTAAGGGTTAGTGACAAGTAAGTAACATTCTTTTTAGTTAAAAATAAATTTTAAATTACAATTCCAATGTTCCATTTCTTCAATTACTATTGGAAAATTTTAATTTTCTAATTTAACCATTTAAAAATTTGAAACATTCAAACTATTCAAATAATTCTTGAATTCAATATTCACACATCCATAGTTACAATCCAAATATAAAAAAGTAAAAGAAAGTACACTTTTAGTATTTACTCCAAATATAATTAAATTGTTTATTGTTAAAACAAGCAATCTGACATTTTTATATTACATACACTTCTGCTTTAAATTATTATTTTGAGGCAGAAATATTTTATTTATCAAGATACACATTATGATATTAAAAAAGGATATTTTCATGTTAAAACAGCACAAGTTCACCATTATTAGTTTTTATAAGATTTTTAAATTAAAAAATAAACAAAATCATACTTGGCTTATTTTTACAATAAACCATTCAATTATTTTTATGCTGGTAAACAATTACCTTTAGCATAAATAAGGAGCATAAAATTAAATAAAAATAATGTATCTATATTTAATATAGATACATTATTTTTATTTAATTTTAAACATTATTAGGTAATATCAATTGTTTTACAATTTAAATTGATTTTAAAATTGGTATTGATTTCAGGTTTGGGTTTGTGTTAATGGAAGAAGCAGACAGGACTTGAATTTATCAAACTTCTTTGCAAAAGAACCTAGAAAATATTAATTGCAGTTGAATATTCTTCATTGAATCAAGAAAAAGACGCATGTTCAATCCATGAATCATGAACAAGAAAAAAGACAATTAATACTTAATATTGACCAGAAAGTTAAATCATACATAAAGATTTTAATTTTGCCAAATACATAATTACAATATTTTTAACATGAGATTTAAGTGGTTCTATTGATTATTAATTTAAATTAAACCAATTTTACTAAAAATTAAATATTCCAAAGAATGTAATTTAATTTTTGGATAAGTAGGAATTCCTTTTTGCCAAAAATTCTATATTTTACAAAACTACAGTATTGTGCTTATTTTAAAATCAAATTATAATCATAATTCCTAAAAATTATAAGAGTATGGTTTGTAATAAGTCATTAGACTAATAATTATATTGCATTAAACATTTTAGGCATTAAGAAATCTGAAAATACCTATAGGTATACAATAAGTCAGTATGTATTACAAAATTATTTGTTTTTATGAATTACCTATTCAAATTTAAACTAATTTAATTATATAATATACTCGAACTGTTTTAAAAGGTTGTTTTCTAATAAGGACCAATAAGTATTGAACTATTGTTTATCAAGAATTTATCAAATATTTTAATGGTTTGTAATATGTTTTAGAGTTAATTTGTTTATAAACCTTTGCATTTTTATTAAGAAATCTTAAAAAACCTATAAAAATTGTTATTATGTGACACAAAATTAAAATTTCTGAAAATTATCGCTGTAATCAAGCGATAATTGTCTTTTAGGCATATATAAGAGGGTAATTATCAATTTAATGTCATACTTTTTGATAAATTATACCTAAATAATTATAAATTATTATACATGTTTGATAAACCTTTTTTTAAATTTCACTATAGTGAAATAAAAGTTATAGAATAATTAACTTTGAATTTCTCCTCATTTAAATATTATTTGTTGGTTATAATTTAATTTAAAATTGAATTAAGTGTATATTTTGTTTAATATATTTATAAAAAAAACAAAAATGTGTGTTTTTCCACTTAATTAGTGGAAAATAACCGAAAATTGTTGAAATTTTATATTTTTTGATTTTTAAAGAACAATATTTACTATATGGTTCTTTAAAAACCCAAAAAAATATAAAATTTTAACAATTTTGGTTATAATTCCATATTTTAAATAAAAATTCAAAATTCGCGCCGCAGAAATCGTGTGGATATTTCCACCAATGGCTTACTGGCACCTCGGATTTCCAAGCCTGCTAGATTTAAAAATCAAACAATGCCTGTTGCCACTTTTCACTACAGCGCTTTTAATTCTCTTATGTTCTGTGTGTGGATTTAATGCTACAGACGAAGTAAGTACGTTTTTATGTTGCTCTGTAATAAATTCGAGGCCGTTTTTATCGGTATAAACCAGTCAATCACGCGGTAGTAAAATAAATGCGCGCATAGAGTAGAATTTGTCATTTTTTTAGTTAAGGGATGACAATAAATATCATCCCCTGACACGACCATGAAAATAACGTCAGTTGCGTGTTCAAGGGGGGTAAAAAAAGGTGCGGTTTAATTATAATTACAATGTTTGGTCGCGTTGAAATATGGGAATAAAACTAAATTTTTACATGCGTAATATTTTGATTTATCGAATTCAATAGATAGAGATATCAGGGCAAAATTGTATTGTACGGAATCGGACATGAATGGAATAAGCTTGCGATATTTCATCGATTTTAGCTCAATTTCGTTTTATCTATACGCGGATAGTAAATTTAATATCCAGAAAAGAGATTTTGCTATGCACGTGAACGGAATTGACC